AACGTTTTCTAATAAAAAGAGTAATTAAAGTTAAACTTACATATTAACTACTGCAATAATTACAGCTTAGTAAGAATTAGGAACAAATTAAACTTGAAACTACAAATGCAGAATACATGGTATTGCTTCCAATTTTATTTCACCTCCTTAAGAAATATTATAGTGTGGAATAGTAACCTATTAACTTATAAACACAAATCTATCTTTGTGTCCCTTCATGAGAGTTCTTAGCATCAATACATCATTGAAAGACAAAATCTATGCTTTTCCCTTAGCTCAACCAGAATCTCTGTAAGCAGTTCCTGAAGATGAAAAACAGACTCCAAACAGTCCTCAGAAAATCTACTTTTTCATGTATACTCTTCTCACACTCAATAAATACAGTGTTTTCATTGTACCCAACAGACAGCAAAGATGTCTTTTACCTTGTTTGCTCTGTACTACATAAAGATACCTCAAGTACATCAATTAATACTATGGCAGTTTCCACATAAATCTTGCAGATATCCTATCCCAGGAAATCCACTGGTTACAAGAAATCCCATACAGCCCTGCTGGCAATGAAAATGAAGTGAATGGGAGTCAAAGCATTTCTTCTCACAAACAGCCTTTTTCTTTTTTTTAAGCTTGCTTCAGTGTGTGCCAATATAGCAACATACATTATCAATGCACTTGTCTTCATTCCAACAACAACAAAATTATTTCTTTTAAACTGAAATTTTAAAATAAAAAAATTGTATCAAAAGTATCACTATTTCCATACAGGAGAAAATATGAGTAGTCCCAAAGCAAGCAGCATATACACACTGACAAATAAACACATTGAGGAGTATTATACATTTTATTTTCAAAAGTGTGCCTTGAAATGTCTGTAAAAGTTTGCTTTGTGAAAACAACTGTATTTTTTCCATATTAAAAAAAAAAAAATCAGAGATGACGGTGACTGCCTTGATCCAACTTTCTCCATAGCTCCTCCAGAAATTCATAAAAAACAAGTAAATAAAAATACCCCAATCTATCTTTCCAGTGTAAATGGGAGATGAAGAAATTACAACCTGAATTTTTCTAAGTGGGATGGTAAGTATCTGTAACCAACACAATCCAGGCTAAATCTACACTGGTACAGAGGGAATACTATGGAAACTGGCCAGATATGTAAGAAATGGAGATGCTCCAGTGGTGGAAGAACCCGTGTATTATCAACAAGACCTCCTTCCAGAAAGGGAGCATCATCCCAAGTGGGATAACAGTACTAACACCAAGGATATAAGTTGAATTACTAGTGCAAATGGCCATGCTCTATATGAAACAAAAACATTTAAAACTGGATCAAAAAATAAAACCCAAATCTATGCTGTGTATAAGTACACACCCAAAACAAAGTGTTTCTAAAGTTTTGTGGGGTTTTTTTAATGACCAAGTAGACAAATACAAATAAAAAGAAAATGTCAGGCAAGGTAGAATTTAGTCTCAAAACATTAAAGAGACAAAGAAGGAAACAAATATCAAGACTAAAATTCACAATAATGATAACACAGTTAAGAATATCTACAAAACAGCATGGAGCAACACTCAAAAAATGGAAACCAAAGGATATACAAAAAGAAATAAGCTAAACAGACACATGAAAAAGTGCTCCATATCACTCAGCATCAGGGAAATACAAACCAAAACCACAATGAGATATCACCTCACACCAGTCAGAATGGCTAAAATTAACAAGTCAGGAAATGACAGATGCTGGCGAGGATGTGGAGAAAGGGGAACCCTCCTACACTGTTGGTGGGAATGCAAGCTGGTGCAACCACTCTGGAAAACAGCATGGAGGTTCCTCAAAATGTTGAAAATAGAACTACCCTAAGACCCAGCAATTGCACTACTGGGTATTTACCCTAAAGATACAAACATAGTGATCCGATGGGGCACGTGCACCCGAATGTTTATAGCAGCAACGTCTACAATAGCCAAACTATGGAAAGAACCTAGATGTCCATCAACAGATGAATGAATAAAGAAGATGTGGTATATATACATAATGGAATACTATGCAGCCATCAAAAGAAATGAAATCTTGACATTTGCGATGACATGGATGGAACTAGAGGGTATCATGCTTAGCGAAATAAGTCAATCGGAGAAAGACAACTATCATATGATCTCCCTGATATGAGGAAGTGGAGATGCAACATGGGGGGTTAAGGGGGTAGGAGAATAAATGAAACAAGATGGGATTGGGAGGGAGACAAACCATAAATGACTCGTAATCTCACAAAACAAACTGAGGGTTGCTGGGGGGAGGGGGATTGGGAGAGGGAGGTGGGGTTATGGACATTGGGGAGGGTATGTGCTAAGGTGAGTGCTGTGAAGTGTGTAAACCTGGCGATTCACAGACCTGTACCCCTGGAGATAAAAATATATGTTTATAAAAAGTAAAAATTAAAAAAAGAAATAGGCTAATTAATAATAAATATATTTATACTAGCTCAACTCAGTCTATAGTGGGTCAAGTAGATATAGAAGATCTAAAACAAATGATCACCAAGCTAGAACATAAAGATAAAAATATAAACTCTATATTCCAATTAGAAATACAATGACCTCTTTCCACGTGCACATGAAACATTCCTGAAAATTGACCACATATTAGAAAATCACAATAAGTTCCAAAAAGTAGAAATGGCACAAAGATAATTCTCTCACTATATATAATGCAATAAAACTAAACAGAATAACAGCAACAACACAAAATGGTCTTACCATATAGAAATTTTAAATCTTAGCTAAAAGGCAAAATATGTCATAAAATTGTAGAACTGATGAAAACAGAGAAGTTACAGACCAAGCAGTGCTCACAGAAAAATCTATAGACTGAAGTATTTATGTTAACAAGAGTGAAAAAGAATAAAAATAAAAAAGAATTAATTATTTAACTCAGAAATAGAAGGAATAAAATAATAAAGAAAGGTGGAAGGAACTGATATTAATGTGTATTAGTGGTAGGAGTGCAAAATTGTATAACCCATAAAATGTGGATGGCACTATTTTCCTAAATTACAGATGTCCTTTGCACCAGCAATATACATCGCAGAAAATTAATCTAAATATATAACTGGTAAAGTATAAAATGATATAAGTATCAGATTAGTTATGGCAAATGTGGAAGACTGGAAACCATCAGTGTAATCAACCAGAAACCAATGGAATAAAACCTAATCAATCTACAAAATTGAAGACTATGAAACCACGGAAAAAGAATGCTCCGAACTCCGTAACACGTTGTTAAGTGAAAGCAAGATAAAGGACAGTACTTAAAATATTCTATATTTTAATCCTAGAATTAGGATTAATATATACACATATATCTCTTGGATATATATATGTGTATATATGCATATTTAAATGTACATACATATACATATAAATGATACACATTAAATGCATACAGATGTTATATGTGCTTATGTACAAAAACATATATATATAAAAATATATTGGAGAACAGAGTAAAAAAGGACAGGGATGAAAGATCAATCTCTTTGAGTATGCCTTTTTAAATGTAGTTTGGCTTTAAAACATATATTTGTTTTATACATCAAACATAAAATTAAATCAAATGAGAAAAGTGAACTTATTCCTACTACCCCATCTACTCCCATCCCACTCCCTGAAATTTCAGTCCAGACCATATTTCCTAATGATTTTAGGATGAGGAGGTGGAAAAGATAGTACCTTTTAGGTGTCCAAAATTTAAGTTATTAGTATTGTACCATGAAAAATTTTTATCTAGTTCCTGACTTTTTAGCAATCCTTCATTATTCATTAACCATTATTTAAGCCCCTATCAAGTCCCTTGAGAATCTCACAAGTTTAAATAAAAAAACAAAACAAACAAACAAAAAAAAAAACAAAAACCAACAGAGAATTTTAAGCCAGGTAGTAAAAAATACAATGATATTTTTATTTTAGAATTATCACACTGCTAACAGTATAGAATTAAGTTCTTCCTTTCAGCAGAAAGAAGAGGGAAGTTGGGTAGTAAAAAGTGAAAGCATGAACAGAACACTTTCACAAAATTTGACAGCGAAGGGTAAGAGAGATGAGGCAATGGTAGAAGTGGCAAAAGGAACTGTTTGACAAATGACAGGTGATAAAAGATACAGTATCAGAGGACACTGACAATTATATTTATAAACAATAGAAGACTGGCCTTAAGAAGGCATTCTCATTGCTGAACTGTATGGACTATAAAGTATGAGGGTGGAAACAGGTATAGATAAATAGGGATACAGATATACAACTGGAGAGATGGAAAAGATTAGGGAGATTCAAACCGATGGATTTCTTTCATGTGGTGGTTGCCTTATCTAAAAAAGGAAAGGTTAGGACAAGTGGTGTGGAAAGCAAGGAAGGGAGTGATGACAGGGCTTTTTAGGGAACAGTTACGGTAGTTGCTAAGTGCAGAAAGCATAGAATCTATAAAAAGATGATGGTACTGAACCAGGGTATCACATTCTCCAGTAAAGCTCAGATCACCACTAGTTAGAAAAAAAGGAAGGGGCGCCTGGGTGGCTCAGTGGGTTAAAGCCTCTGCCTTCGGCTCAGGTCATGATCTCAGGGTCCTAGGATCAAGCCCCGTATTGGGTTCTGTGCTCAGCAGGGAGCCTGCTTCCTCCTCTCTCTCTGCCTGCCTCTCTGCCTACTTGTGATCTCTATCTGTCAAATAAATAAAATCTTAAAAAAAAAAAAAGGAATAGGTAAGTGAATATACTCATTTAAGGAGCCGCTGATAACAACCATTTGCCACTGGTGGGAGCATATTTCCTTTATCTATATTAAAAATAGTCTTATTATTTCCTTCATGTATTTGGATAAAAGATTAAGTATGGCATAAATAAAATTAAAAAATTAGTAATGGTGGCCTATTCTTGAAAAGGAATAAATGAAACAAAATGTAATCATGAGAAATAAATGTCAATAAATTCAAATTCCCTTGTTCTTACCAATTCGAGTGATTTTATTATGTGAGAGTTCAAGATTCTGGATATTAGTGCAGCCATCCAAACCATGAAAAGAAGTCAGTTGATTTTTATTAAGAAGAACAACACAGAGATTGTCCAAATTTTCACAATTGATAGTCTCAATATGGTTTTCCTAAAACAAAGAACAAATGTAATTAATTTTAGTTCAATGGCTTATTAGTGGAACATTTAAAGCTTACAAAAAGAGGAAGGATGAGATATGATCTCTAAGTAAATAACTGAATCTCTGACTTTTATGATAAACATACAGAATGTTATATTATCTAAATGAAAATATTAAGTGACCTAATAAATAATTACCTGATTTTATATTTATTAATCTTGAAAATACAGAGAATCATAATAAAATATTTCAAACAATCTAAATGAACAAAAATGAACACTAGGTCATGGTTCCTTTAAAACTGTTAAAGAAACCAAACATTGAAAAAGTTGATACCTCCCTACTTCTCCCTTCTCAGTCCCTTTTGCTCCCTTTCTCTCCAAAGAACACCAATATTGTGAGTTAGGTATGTATCTCATGTATAGGTTTATACTTTTACTACACATACATATCTCTGCAATACATAATGTTGGTTTCAGTGTCAAGATCATGTGTCTAGGATGTAACAACAATTTTATTTTTTAAGATCTCAGAAAAATAAATGGGCTTTTAAGAATCTTAAGCGTGTAGTCCCACAACATCCCTCTCAAATATACTTATAAGCATAGCCTTTGTCTAATGGAGGAAACTTAATAAAAAGCATAAGAAATCCACAAAGTTTTCAAAGAAAAGCACATTGGTGGAAGCACTGTGTGAACTGAGAAGAATATAAGTCAAATGAAAAGAAGCTTCTAGCCTACCACCCCACACCCCTTCTTCTATGGCAAAGAAACAGGCTCAGGAAAAATCTCAGCTGCGACTAGTATGTCTTGTGGATAAAGAAGTATGCCTTGAGAAGGTCAAAACCCCAGTGGGCAGAACCAGGGGTCACAGAAAACCATCTTCATTGAGCAGAACCAAGTCCTTATTAAGGAAATGAGGATATGTGCTCAGCTATGGAATAGGGACACATGGGCTTCTTGTTTTCTTTCATTTTGAATGGAATAGCTATTGTAATTAATCAAACCTATCTCACCACTGTATTGTGAGTGTGAGGATGGGACAGGAGGAGAGAAGATACTTTTAATTGTATCTCACAGATCTCTGAGTTGAAAGAGTGCTACCTGAGCAGATCACCTCCACCTGGATCTGATATAGATGAGAAAATTTTGTGCTTCAAGTCTAAGTCTGAGGCCACAAGGTTGGTGAGATTTAGGGGTCTCTGGGACATGAGTGTATTTTGAATGTGGGACGGACGTGACTTCTTAGGAGCCAGAGGGTAGACTGTGGTAGACTGTTACTTTGCCCCAATAAACCTCACATCCCAACATTCACAAATCCACCCACCTCCCCTCCCATACAAATTCAGGTTTGGCCAATAGAACATCAGCTAGTATAATGCCAGCAGATGCCTGAAAAACACCTGCATATTGGAGCTTGTCTTTTTTGGAATGCTCACTCTTGCGATTGGGCCACTCTATAGAGAAGCCCCAAAATGAGAGACAGAGACACAGATACACAGAGAGAGAGAGAAGAAAAGAAAGAGAAATTGAAATTCTAGCCTCCCAAGACAACAGACAAGGCATTTTGGACATTCCAGCCCCCACTCCAAATTACATAAAAGACCCAGGCAACAAGACACAAATCAGAAGAAATACCCAGACAAGACTGGCCTCAATTCATGGCTGGCCCACAGAACCATGAGAAAATAAAATGGTGGTTGTTATAATTCACTATAATAAAATGGAAAGTGGATTTATGTTTATATTTCAGCAATGACAATTTTGAAGAAATAGTTACTATATAAACAATAACCAATAACAGGTTCTAAAGATGTCAAGGATCAAATAAAAAGTAATAAAAACAATAACTATATCATCTGCAAATAGAGAAGTGATTTTCAGGCCATACTTCCTAATCTTCTTTCCTCAACAGTTCTCACAAATTTTGTTTTCTATTTTATTATAGGATAAATAATGAAGAGAAGAGAGGACATACCTGGGCATCAATATGCTTCAGTTTTTTGCAGTTACTCAGGCTGTGCAAAGAAATTAATCCACAGCGTCTAAGAGACAAAAACTGAAGATTTGGACACTCTGCTAGTGTGGAGAGACTACAACCTGGCAAATCTTGAAATGTAACTGTTGTGACCTAGAGAATTCAAGAAAATGGGATTACATAACATTATCTAACAATAATGAATATAAACTATATCAGCCTTGCAAAATTCCTTTTTAGAAATTCATTAAGGGATGCCTGGGTGGCTCGGTGGGTTAAGTGTCTGCCTTTGACTCAGTTGATGATCCCAGCATTGTAGGATCAAGTCCCACATCAGTCTCCTTGCTCAGGTTGGAGCCTGCTTCTCCCTCTCCCTCTGCCTGCCACTCCACCTTGTGAAGTGCTCTCTCTCTGTCAAATAAATAAATATTTATTTATTTTAAAAATCTTTTTTAAAAAGTCATCAAAAAAACTAATGATATATATCAAAATTGCATTTGTTAACAATTCACTTTCAATTAAGCTATCTGGTTCTCATTTGTTCCTCACATAGAAAGGCAAAATAATGCAATCAACCATGACCAACTCAAGTTCAAAAGTCATATGCATAGAAGCAATAATAAAATCATCTATTAGCTCATTCGCTGATATTTCACCAAATTCACTTTGTGTGAATTATTTTGGCACTGTTTTCAAGATTGTACTACACAAATGTGTACTACACAAATGCTTATTGTATCAAACAAATGCTTGATACTATCAAACACAGGATACTGTGTTTGACAGTATCCTAGGGATACCTGGGTAGAAATAGTAACAGGAGCCACAATATGTCAGGGGATAGATTCTGTGTCCAACCTGCCATGATTCAATTAAAATGACTCAACTACCTTCCAAAAACAAAGAAAGCCTGAGAAATTATAGGACCTGTAATAAATAGGACCATGCAATAATAATTAAACCATGTAATAAAAATAGCTTTCTATTACAAGTTCACTGGTATGAATCATTCCTTATTGGCACGAATCATTCCTTACTGTTGAATAATGTAATATACTCAGAGCATATAGTATCTCTGATGTAACATAGCATGAATGGCATTTTTCTGGTATTTTCAAACATTTTGAAGACCATATTATGAAATTTCTTATTATTGAAATATCACTGTGGACTCAATAATTCACAAAGGTTTTTCTTAAAGAATTTTTCTGTCATTTTGGTTTTAGTCTTTTTAACTAAAGAAAATTCAGTATCAAAGAATGTACTCAACTTTATGGTATATATATTAAGAACTACACTTATAGTGGCACAGGAATATGTCAGATAATGGGAATATTTCTGTATTACTGAAAAGCACTCTACTTATTAAACTCAAGAGCTCTCACATAAAGAAAATGGCAGAGAAATAAGTATAGCATGTTGGTTCTTCACTATAATTAAGTACATGAATGGAAATAACTATATATGTTAAATTTTTTATAGTAAGAATTATTTCATATTGTCATATCAAAAATCCTAAGGCCAGGTTTCTCATGTACTGAAAAACAACTTTAACTTTATTAGCTTTATAGGAGGAGTCTAGTATATATCATACTGAATCAGAAATTTTTTTTTAAAGATTTTATTTATTTATTTGACAGAGAGGGATCACAAGTAGGCAGAGAGGCAGGCAGAGAGAGAGAGAGGAGGAAGCAGGCTCCCCGTTGAGCAGAGAGCCCGATGCGGGGCTCGATCCCAGGACTCCAAGATCATGACCTGAGCCGAAGGCAGAGGCTTTAACACACTGAGCCACCCCAAGCGCCCCCTGAATCAGAAATTTTAAAAATGTACTATTGTAATTTAAAGCATTATTGCTTCAGAAAAAGCTGTAAGAGTCTTAAGAACAGTAACCCCTCTTCTTTCGGAACATTTCCTGTGCATTAAATTAAACTAAAAGTTTTAAATTTACGGATTTATGTAAGTGAATGGGAAGACCATATGTTTGTGGAGATATAAAGAAGGGATTAAGTCCACTCCTTGCTTTGAGTAGCAAAAGTTATAAACAATATTTTTCAAACTTCAGGTGAATAAGTTTCTCATTTCATAATTATTTCAGGAATATCTCAGTTATTCATAGTTTAAAATGATTTTTGAAACAAATTTATATTTTATGGTTTTTCAGAAAGAAAAATATTCATCCATTTGTGGCAAAAAAAAACCTGCTGTGTATTACCCATTTTATTTGTCCACAAAGAGAATTTATAAATTCTGTAACTGGGAAGCTAGCTGTATACTAACAAGTAAACACACAATTTAGAACTAAGCATTTAAAAACCAAAAACTCCACAACTGTAGTTTTATAGTAACAAATGGTTCTCTACCTTCTTATTTATATTATCCTGCCTGACATAATCATACACTGCTTAAAATCACCTACGGAAATGGTTAGATTCCAGTTTTTATGGTGGTAATTTCTCTAGTTAGATTAATTACAGTACAGGAGTGACAACTGTTGCAGAGTCATTATTAATGGTATCTACTTTCGAATATAAGGTATTTCATATTTCCTCCTCCCTTTTATGGAAGATTTTTAAAATTTCCTTACGATATAGTAATTTTTTTTAAGATTTTATTTATTTATTTGACAGACAGAGATCACAAGTAGGCAGAGAGGCAGGCAGAGAAAGAGGAAGGGAAACAGGCTCCCTGCTGAGAAGAGAGCCCAATGCAGGGCTCGATCCTGGGACCCTGGGATCATGACCTCAGCCAAAGGCAGAGGTTTTAACCCACAGAGCCACCCAAGCACCCCAACGATATAGTAATTTATTATCTATCCTACCTTAGAAAAACCAAACATATGAGATCAAAATAAATTTTTATATTAATCATTTGTTGATACATGCATGACAATAATCATATAAATAACTGCTTTATGCTCCAAATAGTAAGGTCAATATAGAATTAGTACTTACAGGTGTTCATCACTGCATGGTCTGTTGAAAAAGAGCAACTGGAGCATAGTGGATGTTCACTAAATGTTTCAGAAATAAATAATAAATTGCCCTATGGCAAAACTAAAATACAGCATTCATAGTTTCTTTTCTTAATAAAGGGTAATAGAAAGATATTTCAAAAACTAGTATTTTCAGGTTCTCATAACTTAAACTCTTCTACCTACAGAACTTATGACTCATTCATTTTATCTTAATAAAAGATAATAAATCAATTTATTACTTAATCATCCGTATTTCCCTAAATCCTTAACAGATCATGGTACATAGGTACATGACCTAAAATAGCTATGTAATTTTAGAGATTTCACTTTCAATTATTTTTGAGTTCAATGCAAGGAGTGCCAGTCGTTTATGGTAGACTATAATACAAAAATAGTGAAAGCAGTAACTCTTGGTTTTTCTTTTTGCAGAACATCTGTTCAGAGATAAAATTTTATATCGCTTCAATCTAAAGAAATAACGTTTAAAAAATCAGCTGCAAGAGACTGAATCTGAGGTATGATAACCGGATTAAATGAAGCAGAATCTAACTTCTAGTAGCTCACGTACCAATACAACACCAGTTTATTAGAATTTGCCTTGTATAAAATGTGAGACATTCTGATCTAAAAGCTAGTAACAGCTAAAATGTTATTCTTCGTGTCATGTTATAAAGCCATATAAAAAAATCCGTAGGGGCGCCTGGGTGGCTCAGTGGGTTGAAGCCTCTGTCTTCAGCTCAGGTCATGATCCCAGGGTCCTGGGATCGAGCCCCACATCGGGCTCTCTGCTCAGCGGGGAGCCTGCTTCTTCCTCTCTCTGACTGCCTCTCTGCCTACTTGTAATCTCTGTCAAATAAATAAATAAAAAAAATTCTAAAAAAAAAAAAACCAAAATGCATTAAAAAAATCCTTAAATTCAGCACCCTCTTTTTATGATTATTTAAATCAAGTAATCATTAGTAGCAAGACACCAAAAATAAAAGAAAAATAAATTAGTTAGAACACTAAAATTAGAAAACAATATATATATTAGTTGTGTATAATCTCTGCTTGAGATCCAAGTTTGATAATGACTATTACATATACTAGGAGCCCTAGACTATATTCTTTGTATATGTTATTTTATTTTTTTTTTAAAGATTTTATTTATTTATTTGTGAGAGAGAGAGAGAGCACAAGCAGACGGAGTGCCAGGCAGAGGCAGAGAGAGAAGCAGGCTCCCCTCTGAGCAAGGAGCCCAATGCAGGACTTGATCCCAAGACCCTGGGATCATGACCTGAGCCGAATACAGCGGCTTAACCCACTGAGCCACCCAGGCATCCCCATATATGTTATTTTAAAATTCAACAGTCCTATCCAATAGATATTGCTCTTCCCAGTTTATAGAAGACAAAACGGAGGCTCAAAAAGGTCAAGCACCTTGCCCAACGTGACACAACCAATAAATAGCAGAAATAAAATCAGGACACTGATCTTACTTGACAGAGGGCTTATTAGTACTTTATTGAATTATACTCAAATAATTTTTACATTAATTCCCTTTTTAATTAATATACTCTATCTAAATTGTGAAGCTAGCAGTAATACAGAGATAAGATTAAGATTCAGTCAGATTATTTATTCATCCACTTGTCCATCTTCCCACTTAACCACCCCACAGTCAAGTAATGAAAACCACTATTGTCTGACAAATTGTAAAGAAACATAGACAAGAGTCAGACCAGATTTCATGTGCTGAAAGCTGAAAGTGAAAAATTAATATAAGCAAAATGAATTCATCACTGGGTGAAATTCTAGAAGAGTAAACTTTTCTGAAGGTCTTCTCTAGAAGGACCTTCCAAAGATAGCAGTGGGTGAACAAGGTAAGGATAAAGATATGAAGCCTTAGCAAATCAAAGTAAGAGACTTATGGATCAAGAACAGTAGTGAATAAAGACACCAGTATAAACCCATCTCCCAGGGTCATTACAAGATGGCATTTTATAACACTTCTGTATTTATAGACATATTCATAAATACTTTTCAACTTTATACTGTATACTTGATGCCTCAAAGAAAAATGAAATGTTCAAAATAATTGCTTGAGCAATAGTCAGGATTACAGTGCCTTTTACAACATTTCTAATCATATTAATCCATGGGCCAGCACCAAAGCATCATCCAGGAGCACTGCAAAAATGCAGAACATTGGGGCACCTGGGTGGCTCAGTCAGTTAAGCCTCTGCCTTTGGCTCAAGTCATGATTTCAGGGTCCTGGGATGGAGCCCCACATCGAGCACCCTATGGGGTTCCATGTTCAGTGCGGAGTCTGCTTCTCCCTCTCCCCCTGTCGTTCTCTCTCTCAAATAAATAAAATCTTTTTTTAAAAGTGGAGAACATTGAGACTGATCATCAGACCCAATGAATCAAAATTAGCATTTTAACAAATTCCCAGGAGATCTGTATACACATTCCAGTTTGCGGGGACCTGCCCTAAGAAGCAAAAGGAGTAATCCTTACTTTATGTATATTGACAAGAGTTTCACAAAAGGAACAGAGTGGATAGGAGAAGAAACACCAAGGGGACAGGTTCACACATCTTAACTTCCTCAGAGCTCTTCTCATTGAACAGAGCAGAGACCCACAATGAAAAAGAGCACTGCTGTTTTCCTAACTTCAGTTTACTCTAGAAACAAGCACACGGTGAGCATGAAGCTGTCACTTATGCCTGGCTCAAACAGATATGTATAGGAAAATTACCCAATACAAAAGTTAGTAGTTAATGTTACCAATTCAGAAAGCCTACACCAACATCTTGGGGAAAGTAGAAAAAGAATGATTTCAGAGATAACATAGCCAAAGAAAATAATTAATAGAAGACCTAATGAGAGATTCTATATGTAGCTCTATAGATCTGATGGATATGAAAATACATTGCCTAGGAAACAGAGGAACTTCAAAGTAGTTCTTGTTCCTTATACCGCTTTTTCACATCCCAGAGATCTCTTTAACGCCCACTATCTTATTATCCTTCTAAAGAATACCATGAAATCTTATTTACAGCAATTACCAAAATCTATAGTAATGTAATTGGCATTTTGTTTGTTTGTTTAAAGCCTTTTTGTATACCAGAGTCACCTCCATAATGTCAACGACTGGGGTTTCTTTCTGTCCCTAGTCCAACAATAAATATTGATCCATCATATTGGACAGATAAATATTTGCTGAGTGAATAAATTAAAAATTCATACATATATATTAACTTGAGTGTTTCCTTTCCTAGGCATCTCTCTATATCAAAAAACTAAATACATTTTATTGAATACATTTCGGTTTCAGGCCTTAGTCAGATACATGTATTGTAATCCTAAGTCCTTTCTAGTGTTGTACTATTTGAAATATTCTTTCCTGGTTTTCTACACATTTGTTAGTTTCTGATTTTTTTAAAAGATATTTTGTTGGGGCACTTGGGTGGCTCAGTGGGTTAAGCCTCTACCTTTAGCTGGGGTCATGATCTCGGGGTCCTGGGATAGAGCCGCACATTGGGCTCTCTGCTCAGCAGGGAGCTTATTTACCCCCCCCTCTCTGTATGCTGTTCTGCCTACTTGTGATCTCTGTCAAACAAATAAAATCTTTAAAAAATTTTTTGTTTATTTAGTTGAGAGAAAGAGAGAACAGGCGCATGAGCACACATGAGTGGGGGGAGGGGCAGGAGGGAGAGGGACAAGCAGACTCCCTGATGAGCAGAGAGTCCAATGCAGGGCTTACCCCAGGACCCGGGGATCATGACCTGAGCCTAAGGCAGACACTTAACCGAATGAGCCACCCAAGCACCCATTAGTATTTGTCTTAATTTTGGATGAAAATATGGGCTTTATAAACATATAAAATTCACAGTGATTGGTGGTGATTATTTAAATTTCAGACATATATGCACTGTGCTTATATAGCACATGACTAAATATGTTTCCATATGGAAATTCTAGAGTCTTCTCTTATAAGCCCTTCTTTCACAGCCCTTGTCAGATACAGAGAAATCCACTTCATTCCAAAAGGAGCCAGTAGGTGGTGGTGTGCCCAAGACTATAGCAAACTAACTGAATGTCAATTTAGGAATTTCCTTCTCTAATTCAACACTAAATTCCCAGATACTTCCACTCTTAGAAGCTTAATAATGGCTACAGGACCCTTGAACATAGCTTCAAGATATAAATCAAAACTTTCTGTAGTGCTACACTGAGCGAGAAGATGCCCTGAAGAATTTTAATCAAGAAGATCTTTTAAATACATCCCCTCTCAAATGGGTCAATATTTCATTACCAATTTCACCAATTTAGAGACAAAATTCTTGGATACAATGCCTTCTACTGATACTTAAAGTTACATTTCAGAGGATCAATTGTAGTTAAATATGAAAAAGTATTATAAAGTTATAAAATACCTGCTGTAAAGTCTTCCAAGGGCCACATTGAAGAATTTCTAACGTAGTCAAAGGGGGCATCATGTTGGCTGGGCATTTTACAGGTCTCTTCCTCTGAACAAATATTTTTTGTTGGTTTTGTTTGAAAATTTCAAACCAAGGTTTATGTGCTTTTATCCAAGCTAGCCTCTTTTCTTCAATAGAAGATAGAAGTGTTGGCTTTGATAAACAACAGGTCACAATACTTTCACATTCAGCTCTATTTTCATGACATTCTTCTGGGATTTCTTTAAGTTGAGATTTAAGAGAGTTTATTTCTTTAAAAATTAAGGAGCTTTTTGCATTATAGCTACCCAAGTCTTCACAAAGACCATTTCTACCGAAAATATAATCTTGCTCATTTATTTTGCCTTCTATAGTTACCATGGAATTACTGCTGTTAAAAATCACATCACTATTCAGAGCATTGCCTTTTGGGACCTCCTCAGTTTCCTTGGATTTTAAATCAATTTCTTTTTCTTGTATTGTTTTATTTTCCCCTATAACTTCAGAATTTTCTAATTTTAGTGCTTGCTGCTTCATTGAAACTACTGAAATATTATTCTCTTCATATAATGTTCCATTCTGTTCTGTTAGCTCTTCTTTTTCTGCTTTTTGTATCTTATTCTGTTGATTATCTTGGATTATTTCCCATGCTTCATTGTTTTTCACCTTGTTAATTTCTTCATTATGTCCTAATATTATTTGGGTATCTTGTTTCATATTCTCATTTATGGCAGTTTTCATATGTTCCCCTTTTTGTATTTGAAGCTTTAATTCTTGCATCTGAAATTGCTCTTTCACATTTTCTTTTAGATCTGGCTTTTCCAATTCAGTTTTTTTGTCTGTATTTTCACATTTTCTTTCTTCTTTTACAATTTTTTCAGAATATTGTTGTTTTGCCAGGTTTTCATTTTTTACTTTAAATTCTGCCAAAATTGCCTGGTTTATAATAGGATCTTTTGATTGCACTTGTATTGATTCTTTTAATACTAGCTGTCTATCTACATTCTCTGTCCTATTTGATTTTTCAAGTAGCCAGAGGGGAACATCTTCCCATTTCTTTGACTTTTCATCTCCTACCTTTTTGGCTATGTCATCCTTATTCTTTGATGTATCTTCAACAGTCAAATTCTCGATATTATATTCATCTTTTTTTAATGCTCTACTTATTATTAGCTGTTTGTGTGCATCTTCTCTTAATCTTAATCTTTCCTTGCTTAGTAGTTGCTCTTTTTCTCTTCTTATGATGGTCTTTTTTTCTTCATATTCTTTTTCTCTCTTCCTCCTTTCCTCCTGCTTCTGCTTTTTTCTCTCTTCTTCTACCTTTTGTTCTTCCTCCAATCTTTTTAGTTTTTCTTCTTCCATCTGACGTATTTTTGCTTCCTTTTCTTTCCACTCTTGTGCTTTCCTTTTCTTACTTTCTAATTGTTCTTTTATGATGGGGTTATATTTTTGGTAGGCCACAAAGGCTTTATATTTAGCCTGAATTGTTACAGCTGCATTATGCTGCCGTTTTAACAAACGCATTTTTTCTTTTTCTTGTAGATCTTTAATTCTTGTTCTTTCTTCTTCCATTTGTAAATGCAAGCTTTTAATAAACTCCTAAAGTAAAGTAAGATAAATAGTAGTCAGCATAAACTAAAGATATCAAAATATCATCTAAAATACAGACTGAAAACAAATAGTAAAATTGAAATCACAAGGAAGTTGCTATAAAATTCACTTAAAAGAACTAAAACCATTTAAAGGGAATTAATCTTCTAAAATACTTGGGAGTTTTAATCATGTTAGTAAGTTGATATTCTAATATTATAGCTATACTAAGCCACCCAAATATAAATTGAGGAATTCCTTGAAGATAGAGAGCATATGAAATCGGAATGACAGAGAAAAAGCCAGAGAAACCACAAGCCAAAATTTGTGTAGGTGAAGAGGACTTCAAACTTTCTGAGATGGTAGCTCTGATAAAGGGGACTCCCAGAGCTAGCACAGACTGCAGAAGCAGGGGATTATTGGGTGAGATTTATGATACCAGGAAGGCAAGGTAGAACATACATGTAAGAAATATGAAGAACTAGCCTTGTCACATATTTTATCCTTTCTCAACTATGGAGAGAGCTGATAAGTACATATTGCATTAAATGAGATCGTTTGGAGTTAGGTGAGAAAAATGTCATTGTCACTATAGAGTCCTAAAACAAAAGTAAACAAATTAAGCAAATATTTGAGGAAAACTAACATAAAGGATGTGAGGCAATCAAAATAGTTCAATAAACAGAAGGAAGCACTAGTTTCTGAGAAAAGAGAGCAATTAAACTAAATAAAAAATTTACAAAAAAAATTTTAGGAAAAATATGTTTAAATAAAAATAACTACACATAAAAATGAAAATGCAAGCGATCAAATAAAAAAAATATGACTCACGCAAACAAAAATTCAAGATAGAATGGCTTAAATAGGTGTTGGCTAAATAAAAACTTCCAAATTACACACTTTCCTGGAACAACATACAAAATAACAAAGATATGAAATCTATGACACAGACTTTCAGGTATAAAGACAAGGAACACAGAAACTCCAATATGACTAGTAGGAGTTACAACTAAAGACCTGAGAAAAAGGGAAAAAAAATTAGAAAAATATTTTCAGGGACACAGGTGGCTCAGTAGGGTTCAGTGTCTGACTCTTGATTTAGGCTCAGGTCATGACCTCAGGATCCTGGGATTGAGCCCTACATTGGCCTCTGCACTCAGCGGGGAGTCTGCTCCAGGATTCTTTCTCCCTCTGCCCTCCTCCCACCCTGCCACTCTCTCACTCTCTAAAATAAATAAATACATCTTAAAAAAAAAAGAAAAATGTTTTCTAAACCAAAAAAGGTTGGAAGATAAAGAGTAGAGTTAACTTTTCATGCATGCATATAGACAAACACACTGATACACTCACATGGAAGCTAGCAATATTTCAGAACCCTAAGGAATTAAGCTCCATGAAGGCAGCATTTTCCATTCTATCCAGTGCTATACCTTGAACACTCAGAAGCGCCTGGCACAAAATAAGGTATCAGTAAATATGTACGATAAATGTAAAATGTGAAAAATCTAAAGGCTTCAAAAGAATGTAAGGAATGAGTATCAAATTTACAATGATAATAGGCAAAAATATACAAATATGCAATGGAGTTATATCTTTAAATTGTTAAAACCAAATGGTAATAAATCTGGATTCTATATGCCAGGAAAGGAATCGTTCGGTTGTTAAAGCAAAATAAAAAAAATATTTTCAAGTGTGCAAACACTGAGAAAAGTTGTTATCCAAAAATGTTTTCAACAAGTATTTAGGCATACAGGAAATGAAAACTGAGACCAGAAATCAGGGGATGACTCAGGATTCAAAGAACACTAATGATCAAAGAAACCATTAACACTTAAACTTAAATTGTTTTGTTCTATTATCTTCTTTCCATCATTTCACTTAAGAAGTCAGCTATTGGGGCACCTGGGTGGCTCAGTGGGTTAAGCCTCTGCCTTTGACTCAGGTCAGGATCTCAGGATCCTGGGATCGAGCCCCTCCAGGGAGCCTGCTTCCCTGCCCCCTCTCTGCTTCCCTCTCTGCCTACTTGTGATCTCTGTCAAACAAATAAATAAAACCTTAAAAAAAAAAAAAGTCAGCTATTGGTTTACTGTTGGTCCTTGTAGGTAATGTGCATTTTTGCTCCAGCAGCTTTTATAACTTCTCCCCCCTTGTCTTGAATTTCAATAATTATACTATTCAATTCCCAGGTGTGATTTTCTCTGTATTGATTCTGTTTGGAGATCATTAATCAACTTTGAGTGTTCAGCCTGAATTTCTTTTAAACTATCTCAACTATTATTTCTTTACTCATTGTTTTTACTTCATTCTTTTTCTCCTATCCTTCCAAGATTACTAATATATACATTTTATCTTTTCACTATATATCACATTATTTCTTGTACTCTCTTCTGCTTTCCAATTTTTTGTCCTCTTTGTGCTTTAATTTGGATATTTTCTATTGACATTGCTTGTTTCACTAATGCTGTCATCAAACAGATGCACCGAATCTTTAATTTTATATGCTAAACTTTTCAACTCTATAATGTACATTTGATACTTCATTGTAGATTCTACTTCTCTTTTCCTATCACCTCTCTGTTAAGCATCTTGCTATTGTATGACAGTTATAGGTATTTTAATGGCTCTCCTAACTCCAACATTTGGGTTTACCTGTAGGTAAGCTACTATTGTCTTTTTTTGTCCCTTGTCATTCATCTGAACTGTCTGTTCACATGCCTAACCAACATGTTAATTTAAATACGCACAGTAGAGAAAATCATATTATAATATATAACATTATTAAATCAATACACTGTACCCTTTAAATTTACACAGTGTTACATATCAAGTATATATTTTTTTAAAAAGATGGGTAGTAAACCTTTTTTTTTTTTTAGAAAAAGATGGATAGTAGGAGTGTGATTATATAAAGAAAAGACTTGAAAGACTAAGAAAGATAATATGTTTAGTCAGATAACAGGATTATAAGAAATTTTATCTACTTCATGCTTATACTTAAAATTTTATATAAAATCTTTGAGGTAGGGGCACCTGGGTGGTTCAGTGGGTTAAAGCCTCTGCCTTCAGCTCAGGTCATGATCCCAGGATCTTGGGATTGCCCCGCATCCCTGCTCAGCGGGGAGCCTGCTTTCCCCTCTCTGTGCCTTTGCCTGCCTCTCTGCCTACTTGTGATCTCTGTCTGTCGAATAAATAAATAAAATATTTTAAAAAAATCTTTGAGGTAAATAACCTTATAACATAATAAATGTGTCATCAGAATGATCTTAAATTCAAAGGCATTATTTAACATATTCAATTGTGTTCAAGAAATGACCTTTCATAACCATATTCAATCATAGTGAAATATTTATAATAGTATGTTTCCTCAAACCTTAAAAAATTATAGAATTACAATTTTATATAGACATGTTCATTCACTAAACCAGTTTATTTTAATATTTAGGACATTATATTTCAAGGAGAATTTCTGATGATTAATATTTAAAGCTTTAGTAAATTAAATCCTATACCAGACAAGCAATATTACGTCCATTTCAAGTACAATAATCTATTTCAAATGAAGAATGATTATTGTAATGATTAAAAACAAGAAATCGTTACCTCGTGCTTTTTAAATTTCTCTTTCCACATTTTCTCTTCTTTATGGAGTTCATCATTCATCTTGTCCTGTTCTTGCTGAACATATGGTAATACTGAGTTATTATATTCAAATATCAAAAAATATTATGTTCATTATATTTGATTCTGACAACGAATATTTATAAATAATAGTTAAAGATAATAACTCACCCAATGATACTCTGTCATTAGTACTGGGACAACAACCTTAATCTCAACCTAAAGTATCACATAAATGATATCTAGGGTTCCCATTTTGAGCACATAAAGATGTTTGTAACCTGGGTAAGTTGTTTTATTTATCTGAGTATGTTTATTCACATAATAAAATGTATTGGCTAGATATGCTCTTGGGTAATGCAAAACCCACAAATAATAATGTTTGTAAGATGAGTTTTATATTACAATTTTTCTTCCTGCACACCATCCCATTTAATTCACATAATCCATCAGTTCGGTGGATAACGATTTTCTTGATTAACATCTATTTTGTTAAGGCTCTGCAGAATAAACAAGATCAGTAAAATAGAATCCCTTTCCTCTAAAATTTTACCTTTAATATGGGAATGCAACTGTAAGTTCACATATTACCTCAAATTTAGCAGAATAAATTTATCAAAAGAAGACTATAAAGGACCACTGTAGAAATAGGCATTATAATTAAAAAGAAGATTATGAAAAGTTTCATATAGAAGACCGTATATGAAGGAATTTATTAAATGTTTTCCAATTAGGAAAATGTAGCTCTGTTTTTAGGAAAATTAAAAGGTTACATTAAAGACAAAAAGCCAAGGAGTCACTAAAGAGATCAAAGAGGTAGGTATTAGAGAAGTCCATGTAAGCAGCAAGGAGGGCCTTCTGTATAGGGTGATGGGAGTGAGAAAAATACAAAAACAATGTAAAAATGAAATTGCTACAAACTGCCAAGTGTCCAGAAATAAAGTAACTGGGAATCTTTCTTTGGATATAATCTTTACAATGAGAATTAGGCAGAGAAATAACTTTAAAAAGCCCTCCTGGCAGCACTATGGTGAACGGGTTTGTGGAATACAAGACCAAAAGTACAGAGATAATTGGCAAATTTAGTGAATATGCCAAGTTAGACATTAGGACACCATGGACTACAGAGTAACAGCAGATAGGTGGGTGGATGAGAAGATGCATAATATAACTATTAGAGGGAAGAGGATAATAAAGAGAAGGAAGAGCCAAAGATGGTCCTTATCTTTCTAGCTTAGACTATGATGACAGTGTAGATCATCAAAATGATGAATATAAGAGGAGAAGCACAACTCAGAGACAATGCCTTCAGTTTTAGACACATTAAGCTCCGAGTGTAAAGTATCTGTAGTAGAGTTAGGTAGTTCATTTTTCTTTTTTGTTATAAATATAGATTTGTTTCTGAACAGCTATATAACAGATTTGTATCTGTCAGCTATGAATGACATTATCAAGAGAGAAGGTATATGGAAAAAAAAAAAGGACAAAGGAAGAAATCCTTGGTAGTACCATATTCAAGAAGAGAGAGAGAGACAGAGAAGGCTAACATGGACATAAAGGAGGAATTGCCAAACATGTAAAAAGAGATTCAAGGAGGTGTGATCCCACGGAAGTCAAGGAAGAGAGAAATGGTCAACAATCAGGGGTGCCTGGGTGGCTCACGGGTTAAAGCCTCTGCCTTCAGCTCAGGCCCTGGTCCCAGGGTCCTGGGGTCAAGCCCCACATCCAGCTCTCTGCTCAGCAGGGAGCCTGCTTCCCTCCCTCCCTCTCTGCCTGCCTCTGCCTACTTGTGATCTCTGTCTGTCAAATAAATAAATAAAATCTTAAAAAAAAAAAAAGAAAGAAAGAAATGGTCAACAATCAAATTTTTACTGGCATAAAATGCTACAGAGGCCATTATAAGAACTGAAAAACAAACTGTGAATATGGAAACTTAGAAGTCATTGGTTATTGGACACCTGGGTGGCTCAGTGGGTTAAAGCCTCTGCCTTCAGCTCAGGTCATGTTCTCAGGGTCCTGGGATCCAGCCTTACATCGGGCTCTCTGCTCAGCAAGGAGCCTGCTTCCCCCTCTCTCTCTATCTGCCTCTCTGCCTACTTGTGATTTCTGTCTGTCAAACAAATAAATAAATAATCTTTTTTAAAAATTAAAAAAAAAAAGAAGTCATTGGTTATTTTTGTTGCGAGTCGTTTCATTTGGTGGGGTGATGGTGATATACCTCGTAGTTTTAGGATTCAGTAAGAGACGAAGACATAAATATAGCAAGACTACTCTTAAGAAGCCTTACCATGATAAGTAGAGGTAAAGAGAAGTTAAAATGAGACATAAGAACAAAAGTGATCTTGGGATTTTTCTTTTGTTTTATTTCTAAGATGGGAGGAAAACTGAACATGCTTATAAACAATAAGAAGGGAGGAAGTTGATGGGGTGTTTCAGCATACAAGGTAAAACTATAAAACAAAAAAGCAGGGGTAAACTGAAAAATATTATAGAGCAGAGCAGGGAAACCTAACTTTTAGTAAAAGAAATCTTTCCTACTGAGTGTAGAGCAAAGACAAGGAAAAAAGGTAGGGTAAATACAGAGGCTGGTACAAACTAGATATAGGATTAGGAAGAGGAAGTTTACAATTCATGCAAAAATATAATGTGATCATTTGCCCATAATGAGGAAGGAGAAACCAGGTGGAACTCTTAAGGAAAGAAATTTACAATAGCTTCCTATTTCATTCCCCCAACAGCTAACAAAGGACACAGAAAACAACTACTGAAAGTAAGTAAATTACATATTTACAATGCATCTTTTTAAAATTATGGCATGGTCTCATTGGAAAAGTTTTAAGCCCCAAGGCATAACAAAGTATACATTTAGGAATTCATTAAAATATTTTAAACTATAATCTTACGATAAAGCACAAATTACTTTCAGAAACTAAGCTGGAACTCTTTGAAGGTGGGGCCCAGATGTCAGATCTCTTTTGTGTCATTGAAGCGCATAGCTGAATGCTTTGTCATTGAGGTAGTCAATAAATTTTTTTGTTTTAAAACAATTAAATATGACAATTTGGGTAAACAAAATTTAAAAGTCGGATGTTTTCTAAATCTGAAAATACCACTAACAATCAACAGCAATGATGCATTTCAACATAAGACTACAAACACTACTCCTATAATCTAAATTATACTAAAGCCTATCCTAGAATAAAGATTCTGACTTTTGGAAATGACCCCAAAAAAAGTCTGTGTAAAGGAAAGCTAAGGATCCATAGTTCACATTATTAGAAAAAGCCACAGCCATACTGAGTATACAGTATAATTGCTTTAAATTTATTTTCTATAATCAGGAAATGCAGTGTACTCAACATGGAGGGCTAGAACACACTGAACTGCCCAAGTGACCACATGTCAACATTCTCTATATGTAACTCTCAAAGTGTGTAGTAGTAAGTGTGGTAATATGCAGGTCAATTTTAGTAATGTAAGACAGAGAAGTCAGTTCTGATTGTTATCTATACATTCTAACGATCCTGATGGTCATAAAGTAGGGTCCTAAAAATCCACCAGTTTCTCAATATACCACTACCATGACCTAAGCATATGGATCTCCTATTACCTACATGGGTGAACCACTATAACCAAATATGTTTTATGTAATTGTTATACATTAGACCTCATAGCAAAGACATTTCATGATCAGGAAAATTTTGTTGCCTTCTTGCATGATTAGAAGTATATGAAAAAGCAACACTTATGTTGTAAATATCAACCCTTCTAGGACAATCTGTAACTTCATTGACCCCAGGGGGCTCCCAAGATCCAAAGCAGCATCTGAAATTTCAATGAATTTTAATAAATTTTTAAATAAATTAAATTAATGTATATAATAAAATATTTTTTTAATTTTGAATGCATAAATTTAAGGAAAACTAATCAAGAAGTCCATAGTAAATACTGTTACCAGTCAATGGCTTCAATTATCAAGAATACCTAAATCCCGGGACGCCTGGGTGGCTCAGTTGGTTAAGCAGCTGCCTTCGGCTCAGGTCATGATCCCAGTGTCCTGGGATCGAGTCCCACATCGGGCTCCTTGCTCGTCAGGGAGCCTGCTTCTCCCTCTGCCTCTGCCTGCCATTCTGTCTGCCTGTGCTCGCTCTCTCTCCCTCTCTCTCTCTGACAAATAAATAAATAAAATCTTTAAAAAAAAAAAAAAAAAAAAAAGAATACCTAAATCCCATAGAACAGAACTCAATCCACACCATAATCTAAAAGGATCAGTACTATTCAGAAGTAGTTACTGATTCAAAAAATGTATAAAGAGCCCAGATATCCATCGACTGATGAATGGGTAAAGAAGATGAGATATATATACATATATAAAGAAATATTACTCAACCTTGGAAAAGAATGAAATCTTGCCATTTGCAACAACATGGATGGAACTAGAGGGTATTATACTAAGTGAAATAAGTCAATCAGAGAAAGACAAACACCATATGATTTAACTCATATGTGGAATTTAAGAAACAAAACAGATGAATATAGGGGAAGAGAAGGAAAAATAAAATAAGATGAAAATAGATAGAGAGGAAAACCATAAAAGACTCTTAACTATAGGAAACAAACTGCTAGAGGGTAGGTGGGAGACGGAAGAGGTCATTGGGTGATGGGCATTAGCACTGGGTGTTATGCAACTGATGAATCACTAAATTCTACCTCTGAAACTAATAATACAGTGTATGTTAATTGGATTTAAATTTTAAAAAGTCAAAAAGAAAGAATGTATGTAAAACAAAAACAAAACTTAAAAAAATACTTTACCTTCTGAATATTCTCTAATTTCTTTTTTTCAACTTCAAATTGTTTCATCCAGCAATGTCTCTTTTCTTCTTCTTCTTGAAATTGCCTTTTTTCTCTATCCCTTTGAGCTTTGAGAGTTTCTTTCTCCTGGTCTTCCAGTTCTTTCTGTTTCTCTTGCCAAGCTTCAAAAGACTGCCTACATCTTTCTTCCACTTCACAGTATCCAAAATTTATATCAGCATCATCTGTATTCATGAAGAGAAACATTATTATTCTTAAAAGCAAGCCCCTCAAAACTGACCTAACATAGAGTATGAAAGTAGTTTTGAAATGAAGAAATAAGGTCAATGTATTACCAAAGTAAAAGTGATAATATCCAAAAAGAGGTATTTTAGAATATACATTAAAAATCCTATTGCTGTCATATACAAGGAAGTTCCATTTCAGTTAATAAAGAAATCACATAACTTGCCTTAACTATACCACAAAATTTAATATAAAAACATAATGTGTGTGTGTGTGTGTGTGTGTGTGTGTGTGTGTATGTGTACACCAGTTAAAAGAATATAGTTAAGGATACTTAAAAATCCAAGGCTGGGGGCACCTGGGTGGCTTGGTCCATTAAGCTTCTGACTCTTTGATTTTGGGCTCATGTCATAATCTCAGGGTCCTAGGATCAAGCCCCACATCGGGCTCCCCACTCAGCAGGAAGTCTGCTTCTCTCTCTCTCCCCCTGCCTCTCCCCCTGCTCACTCTCTCTCTCTCTCTCTCTCACTTTCTCTAAAATAAATAAATAAATCTAAAAAAAATCAAGGCTGGATATATCTATTTCAGTCAGATATATAGATGGAAAATTTAAATATATTTAAATCAAGTTAATTTGGGAGGCATAAAAAACTATGAAAATATGAAATTAAGTAAGTACAGTAAAGGCATAATAATTTTCAAATGGCATGATTGTGTTTTTGTAAATGTCAAAAGAAAACTGTGTAAATTTTTTCAGAGAAGTATGGTCAATCACATAAAAATTATCAAAAACATCATTGAGCAATTTAGCATACCTGGCAAAACATGTTTATCCACAGGCAAATCATGAGGATCAGGCTCTGGAATAGAATCAGGACCACCACAATGGGTTTTATTCCTCAGAAATTCTTCTTTTTCTATTTCAGACAACATCTAAAAGGTTAAAGAATACCAATAATTAAAGGAAAAGTAAAGCAATCATTTTTAACAATATATCAAGCTATATATACACATATCCAGAACTTTATTTACTTTCAGTATCTCTCAAATACAATCCTACAGCACACTAAAAATTGTATTCCCATGCAAGCAGACTGCATTTTATCCTCCTTGTTTTTCAGAACTCTAATCATTCTCCTGTATTTATCCACAATAGTCAAATAAACTGCTTGAAAATCTGTGGAATGAATAAGTCACGGGAATAAAAGGTACAGCATTAGGAACACAGTCGATGATACTGTAATAGCTTTGTATGGTGACAGATGGCAGATACACTTGTGGTGAGCAGAGAATGATACATAGAAATGTTTTATTATCATGCTGTGTACTTGAAGCTAATGTAACACTGTGTGTCAACTACACTCGAAAGCAAAAAAATTTCTTGAAAATTATTTCCCAGTGTTTCTCCTAATGCTTGCTTTCTTCTTAATGAATTTCTATATTTCTTAACTACAGTGATTGCTCACATCTACAAACAGCTAATACTTCCAGCATGTTTAAAAAATGGAACTATTCTCCACTTTAATCTGAATTATGCAAAAGTCATAATGTTTATGAATACTTTACCATAATTAGCCTTCTACCATATTCTAGTTGGAAAGATATAGGATATCTATTTCAATGAAGTAGCAGTATGATAATTCAAAATTAATATTTCAAGTTTGTTACCAAAAAAGAGAGAAAGATATATATATATATATATATATATATATATATATATATATGAGCAATTTTCAAATTATATGAAACATCTTAGGGAGTAGAGTTATGTAAAATCAGAGATAGTTAGGTAAAATAAGCATTCAAAATGCTAAAACTGTAGGAGAAATTTCTCAAATGTATTTCTGGAGTTTTTAATCAAAATTGCCAGGCTCTCCCTTATTCTTATTTCTTTAGGAATTTTTTATATTTTATCTTTTTTTAAAACTAACATAAGATGTCCCACATTTAAAATTTCCATTGGATATATAAAGTCTCTGCTGGAACATAGTACATTCCTAAGCAGGATAATAAACATTATATTCATTGTTTTCCTTGGAGTTTTTAGGGAAAAAATATCACATAGTATGGTTCTACTGTTTTATCTACATGCATTTTAAATTCCCAATTACTGATGATTCAAATTACCATTTCTAATATTTTTAAAATTGAAATTTGAATTTTTATATATTACAAGCAAGAAAAAACATAAAGTCAAAAACAATTAAATTTTTAAGTTCTAATTGGCAGATTACATCTTTACTTTTTTTAAAGATTTATTTATTTGAGAGACAGGAGAGAGAGAGAGTGCACACACTGTAGGGACAGGCAGGAGAGGGAGAAAGAATCTTAAGTAGACTCTGTGCTGACGTGGGCCTTGATCCCACAACCCTGAAATCATGACCTAGGCCAAAACCAAGAGTCACCAAGAGTTCGACACTTAAAGGACTGTGCCACCCAGGTGTCCCTACCACTGAACTTTAAATCAGTGAACTATCGTCTTTCGTAAGAGGGAAAAGTAAAAAATATCTAACTGTAATATTGAGTACTTTCAGTCAAATATTGATCAGATACCTTTATTAACTGTTCCGGATGTTCTTTATGTTCAGTTGATAATTCTATCTTTAAATGCATGTGATTATTAGGAACCACTCCATAACTACAGCCTAGAGAAAGAAAAAATACTATAACTTTAAATATTAGAGCAGGACAAAGCATGTTTAAATCTCAAACTCCTTTCATTATCCTTTAATCTCAAATTCCATCATAGTATATTCTTGATCAGTGACTCAAAACAATAGGAAAATAATGAAAAATAAAGAACAGAGGAAATCTGTAATCTTTGTTTTAAAAATAAAAGTAATAAATTTATAAAACACTCTCTTTCTAGACTGAAGTCTGTTTTCTACGTACACAGTGTAATGCTGAGTTTGATACTGCAGTGACACCTTGATTAGAAATCAATAAAGGTTCAATTCTACTGCCACAAACTAGCAATATAACCTTGCAGAAGATACTAAACACACTTTAATAAAGGTATTAGTTTAAAAGATTATAGGAGAGCCTGGGTGGCTCAGTGGGTTAAAGCCTCTGCCTTCAGCTCGGGTTGTGGTCCTGGGGTCCTGGGATCGAACCCCACATCAGGCTCTCTGCTCCACGGGGAGCCTGCTTTCTCCTGTCTCTGCCTGCCTGTCTGCCTACTTGTGATCTCTGTCTGTCAAATAAATAAATAAAATCTAAAAAAATAAATAAATAAATAAAAATAAAAGATTATAATTACTAATGTGAATGAAGTGAGTTTCATTTCTGATTTTATGAGTTTTTTGAATTTTATTGTCCTTTTATCATCTGTGTAGATGCAGTTAATTTTTTGTCCTTTTTCAGCTAATATGTTCTATCGTGGTAGTCTTCATTAACAGTAAACTATTGTTCACAAATGACTGTTTTGCTGGTTAACTAACTACTCACACCTATTTTGCCAGACATTACAAATTTTCTTCTTCAACACTTATTCACAGTCTCAGCAGCCTGCTTTCCCATGTGAGGGGCTGACAAAGCAAAAATAACATTCTCCAGATTCCTTTGAAGCTAGGTTTCTGAGGGTGATTAAGGTTCTGTCAATTGATATATATGCATAAGTCTTTATTTCCATAAAAATATCATGTGTGAAGAGAGACAAGGAGCAATATTTTCATTTTTCTGGATGAGACTATGATAGAGGGAGCTCTGGGTTGGAGATAGGAGTGTGTATTAGAAGATCAACATCTCCAAATATCTTAATTATATCATACAGCAGCTCTTTCTGCAACCCAGTTTAACGATGTGTGTATGTGTGTGTGTGGGGGAGGGCGCACGCACTTTTACACTTTGGATGCTCGGACTAGAGTGTATTTCTTCAATTCTATTGACAATTCTGTTATTCATTAGAACAGCTAGTCTCCAAAGATGTCTCTTTCACACTTCCTGGTGTGCATATACTGTTTAGTTCCCTCCCACACAGAACCTGGGCTGACCCTGTGTAACCACCAGGGTATAATAGAAATGATGTTGCATGACATATGAAACTAGGTTATAAGAAGTCTTACAAGGTTCCACATTAGTCTATTGGAATTTTGTTCGTGGAACTCCTCAGAATCCAGGTGCCCTGCAAGTCATAGAGAGATCACAGGTAGGTGCCTCCAGCTGCCATCCAGGTGCCACAGTTGAACTCCCACCCAACAATTAGCAGCAATCAACAAGCATTTCAGTGAACCACCCTTGGAATTCTAATCCACTAAAAACTTCAGATGACGGTGTCCCTATTCACCATCCAACTGTGAATGCACACAGAAATCCAAGCAAGAATTGCCTAGCTAAGCTCAGTCAACCCACAGAACCATAAGAGATAATAACATATTGTTATTTTAAACCACTCAGTTTTTTTGTTTTTTTTTTTGTTTTGCAGCAATAAATAACCAAAATGTCTAACTTCTACCCATAAAAACAAAGACACAAACACCCCCAAAACCCTTCTGCCTAAAGCAGCTCAAGTAGCTTGTGTCTATAACTGAGAGCCACAACTATTATATCTACATTCGTAAGTGAAATTAGCCTCTGGTTTTGTGTGTGTGTGTGTGTGTGTGTGTGTGTGTGTGTGTGTGTGTTATGCTTTGTATTTGAAGTATGGAGGTTTTTATAAATGAAATATTACATAACCTGCAGATTTGTTTATCCTTGATGGACTGTAAGGATTCAACTGTAAAATCATACTCATTTCTTTTTTTCTTTTTTTAATCATACTAATTTCTAATGACATTTAAGAAGAAAACTTTTTCCTCCTTCTTAACAGATTATTGATTTAATCATGTTTTCCACTTTTTTCAAGCAATTTTGATAATCTGAATTTTCTTGGAAAAACATCCTATTCATTGAGACTATCATACTTATTTGATCAGAACTATACGTGAGATCTCATAATTTTCTAAACCACTGCTATAATTATAATTACATAACCTTTCATGTAACTAATTTTCTATAATTGTTTTCTTTTTTTAATTAAACTATATAATTGCCAATATAGTTATATTTCCATTGTATAAATTTTAGTAAATATACACAAACAAACCATTAATATTCCCTATAACTCAACTACAAATAATCACTGACAAAATTTGAAGCATCTACATAGAGTCAGTCTTTACATATCCATTTACCCAGTCACTCAGGACAAAAATCTTGCAGTCAGTTTCCTCTCCTGCTCTCATTCCAATCCATCAATAAATACTTTTGGTTCTTTTTACCTTAAAAATGGTTTCTAGAGGGTTGTCTGGGTGGCACAGTCATTAAGCAACTGCCTTCAGCTCAGGTCATGATCCCAGGGTCCTGGGATGGAGTCCAGCATCAGGCTCCCTGCTCAGAGAGAAGCCTGTTTCTCCCTCTCCCACTTTCCTGCTTGTGTTCTCTCTCTCGCTGTCTCTACCTCTGTCAAATACATAAATGAAATCTTTTTAAAAAATGATTTCTAGAATGTGACTATTTTTCATTTCTACTCCAATCACTCTCATTCCTAACTATACTATTTTTTTTTAAAGATTTTATTTATTTGAGAGAGGGAGAGAGGGATTGAGAGAATGAGTGGAGGGGCAGAAGGAGAAGCAGACTCCCCATAGAGCAGGGAGCCCGATGCAGGACTCGATCCCAGGACCCTGAGATCATGACCTGGGCTGAAGGCCGACGCTTAACCTACTGAGCCACCCAGGCGCTCCCAATATACTATTTTTTTTTTAAGATTTTGTTTATTTATCAGAGAGAAAGTGAGAGAGAGCACAAGCAGGGGGAGCGACAGGCAGAGGAAGAAGCAGGCTCCATGCTGAGCAAGGAGCCCAAAGTGGGACTCCATCCCAGGACCGTGGGACCATGACCTGAACCAAAGGCAGTTGCTTAACTGACTGAGCCACCAAGACATCCCTCTAACCACACTATTGCAACAGTCTTGTAGTAGACTCTTGCTATCTCAGGTTATCTTTTCTACACAATCATCAGAATGAATGCCTCAAAAATGTGTCAGATATTGTCACTCTTTACTCAAAAACCTTCACATACACAGAGTAGAATCCAAAGCCCAGACCATGATTTATAAGAGCCTATATGATCTGACCCCCATAAAATCAGTGCCTTGACCATTACAGAGCCTTTTTTCTAGAACACTGGCTCTCTAGATATCCATGTGGCTCACCTCATTCACTGAGATATCCATGTGGCTTTCCTTAGTCATTGCTCAACTATCACCTCCTCAGAGAGGCCTTCCTTGACTTACCCTATCTAAAAGAGCAACCTCCAATCTCTATGCCCTATCTTAAATTTTTTACTTCATTGAAGTTATCAGTATTAAAATATGACATATTAATTTGTTTCTAGTCTGTCTCCCCACACTGGAGCATTAGAATAGGAAAGCAGGACCTTTGCCTATTTTGTTCTCTGTAATATTCTCAGTGGCTGAAACAGATCCTTTCACACAGTAATATTTGTTGAATGACTATCTATTAATACCTACATTGTAATGTATACTAGTATTTGCATAAATAAAACTGAATTTTATAATAATCTTATATATTATATCATGGACACTTTTATTCCATTAAATATTATCTAAGCCATCTTTTTCAGTGGGTGTTGCTGGATACACTGAGGCCTGTTGAACATTTAGGCTGTTGCTATTTTTCATTATAAACCAAGCCATGGTTAATTCTAGTTAAATCCTTGATCATTCTATTATTCTTAGAATTCCAAGAAGTAATTTTGCTCAGTTGAAGCAAATAAAAATTGTTAGGCTTCTGATGTAAATTGTGTTTTTCTCCCCCAAAAATGTATAAACTGATACTTCTAAAATATTCCTGTGACTCATTTTCTTTTCTTAATGCAAAGTAAAGATGACCCTTGAACAACATGGGGGTTAAGAGTGACAAGCCCCCATGCAGTCAAAAATCTGCATATAACTTTTGATCCCCTAAAACACACCTACTAATAGCCTACTATAGACCAGAATGCTTACTAATAATATAAATGGTCTATTAATGCATATTTTATATATTATACATATTATATACTGTATTCATACAATAAAGTTAGCAAATGAAAATGTTATTCAGAAAACCATAAGAAAGAGAAAATCCATTTATAATACTGTACTGTAAAAAATCTGCACATAAATGACGTATGCAGTTCAAACCTATGTTGTTCAAGAATCAACTGTAATAGTGTCTGGTTTTAATTAGGACCAGTAAAACAAACTGTTGGTGGCTAATATTTATTGGACATATAAAGGAAGTAGTCAGGAAAAAAAATTAATGGACTAAATTAAACAATCCAGCATATTATAAGATATTATAGTAGAGAGAAATGCACATATATGTATATAACAACAACTAAGAACTTCCAGCAGCATAGTTTTCTAAATTATAAATTAATCATGACTACAGAAAACTTATCTGCCAAGCAGATAAAAACTATACTTAAAAAAAAAAAAAAACTACTTACTTAAAACATCGGTATCTTCCAAGTCCTGAAGAATGAGCTCTTCCGCAGTTTTGCTCTTATTCTTTATGATGTTAATACAGTGAAGAACTGACTCAGGTAATTCATCCAAATCCTAATTTTTTTTAATAAATGAAAGTAACTATTAAATCATTTATTAAAACTATGTATCAAAAATTTCATAAAAGTTTTCATACACCAAAACTTTGAGCAAGATGTGTAAATCAGTTCAAACAAGTATATTTGATTAAAATTTGCTTTTTCTTTTCAGGTGACTATGAAGTACATCCATGATTCTGTTGTTTTTCATATCTAAATGAAGAATTTCAAAATTCTCACTTGAATTAGCTATGGATAAAAAGACATAGTAATATACAAATTATAACTTTCCAAAAGTAACATATAGGTTATTGCATCCTAATTAAAAATGAAAGTATAATTATCCTTCAAAACTTAACGAATGAGTTTTCTTTGGGAAAAAGTTTAGTGGAGAAAATTTTGAAAAAGCAAAGCAAGGAATTTGACCTGTTTGATACTTAATAAAAAAAACTACAATAGGGGAAAAAGTAACAGAATAATGGAAAAGAATAAAGTGCCTTGGATAGATTATATGTATAACAACTAAACATATACAAAAGATAAGACAAATCAATTAAGAAGAGGTAGATTATTCATCAAGTGACAATAATAATATTAACTAAATATATGCAGGAAAGTTTCTATTTAGATCTATGTTATATAATATACTTGAAAAAAATTCCCATTAGTTTAAGGATTTTGATGCAAAAGAATGAATCTGTGAATAAATTTTCTTTTTTTTAAAAAGATTTTATTTATTTATTTGACAGACAGGGATCACAAGTAGGCAGAGAGGCAGTCAGAGAAAGAGGGGGAAGCAGGCTCCCCACGGAGCAGAGAGCCCGATGCGGGGCTCGATCCCAGAACCCTGAGATCATGACCTGAGCTGAAGGCAGAGGCTTAACCCACTGAGCCACCCAGACGCCCCTGTGAATAAATTTTCTAATCATATAAACATTGGGGGAAATACACAAATGAAAAGATAATAAATTTGATTTCCAAAAAATAACTATTTCTATAGGTCTAAAGATTCCACATAAACTTTGCTTTTCATATATCTCTAATAACATTAAAAAGCTCATGATTTAAGTTTTAAAAGCAGGATACAAATAAATAGTTCTATGTATAATACCAATATTGCAAAAAAATGCACATATATACATGCGAAATTACAAGTGAGTTGTATCTTCAATGTACTTTTTATATTTAAATATCTAACAATGCACATTGTTTAAAAGTGATCCTAAAGTTAAAAAATGAGATAACAATGTTAAGAAAACTGAGCAAAGTAATATTTCTCCCACAAAGTTTACTCCAGTTAAAAGGATCTTAAAAGCCCAGCATTTAACACTTACTGTATCACTATCATCACTCTGGATGTCTGATTTTGAATCACTATCAACATCATCTTTTTCTAATGAAGAAATGCTGACTTTATCCAATTCAGCTTCTATTTCTTCCTTGAGCTTTGTATCATCATCATCACCATCATTTTCCATCATCCTTTGTAATAAACACAGAACCATTTAAAGAAAAATGAAAAGAATAAAATGAGTAAAATCTATGGGTTGTTTAATGTGTCATACCAATCTAACATGTTCTGTGTAAATATGTTTTCATCTAGGATACCTTCATCGTATCTTAAAATGGTCGTACCATATATTAAAGAACGTTTTTCCCCCCTCCATTAATTCATTAGTTTTTTAATGTTTGATACAAAATGGCCAACTCTAATAGTACTCTCTTAAATCTCTAAAGGAAAAGTCACATGGAATGGACTGTCTTAGCTTCCTGAACCAAGAAACGTCACAGTAAAATTCATCCTCATGGAAATAATTGAGGGTGAAATATCTCTGAATAGCTTGAGTATTCAGAGAATAGAATACTCATTAAAAAAAAAAAGAATACACATTAGAAAACAACCTAAGTCTATATATGGGGCAATATATGGTTAGTTTCTACTTATTAACTGACAGTTGTTAATTTACTATAGATAGCCACGTTTTTAACAACAATAATATGTTGTAATAATATGTGGCTTATAAGACCAATATTTATTATTTAAACCTTTAATGCTGGTGATGGATATGGATCAAGCAGCACATTAGAGTATATCTTCCTGTAATCATCACCATCATCAACCACCATTAGCTTCCATGTATTGCATATTAGTGACAAGCCAGGCACTAAAAGACACTGTGTGAGTGATAATCATCAGAGCAATGGAACAGATATAAGGCCATTATAGCCATTGTACTGATAAGAAAACCAAGGTTTAAGGAGTGTACTTAAATTCGTATAGTCATTATGCTAATCAGTAATGAGGACATGGCCCTAATTGAGAGATCCTGAATTCAAATCCAGTGCTTTTCCCGCTATGAAATGGTCTCCAAACTTAGTCAAACTCCTCATCTGCCCAGCAATCCTTCTGAATATCCCCTAGTCCAAGAGTCTTCAAATTGCAGATGATAACTCTTTAGTGGATCAAGACATTAAATCAGTGGCTTTTCATCATAAAGTTTTAATAATGGAATAGGATAGGAAAAATTAGGGTAGATAAGCAAATAGACTATAAGTGTACTATATATGTTAAAGATAAAAACTGTTTTAAAAAAAACTTTTGTTTTGATTGTAGGTGGGTATATACGTAGGCATGTGCACATGAGCGGCAGTGTAAAGTGTAATTCGTTTGTTTTACTATGGGTCTTGGTTTAAGAAAAAAATTTTTAAAAATACTCTACTCCTCAACTATTATTTTATTTTCCAGACTATTCCAAACTTTCATTTTTTCCTCAAGTCCCTGACCTTTCCAGTGCTACTTTCTTGACTCACCCTCTCTCCCTTCCTTCCCTCTTTTCCTTCTTTCGCTCATCTCAAAATCAACTTTTTGGGAGCCCACCAGGTACATTAACAACAGTGCGAGGTGCTATGCTGATTAAATAAGACAAGTAGCCTATGTTCAAAGTTTACAGTCTAGTTAACAAAGAAAATGAAACGCCCTCATTTTCCTATTTCTTTTCCTGAAATCTTTTCATATTCCTCTTACTTGGAGAAGAATCCCTTCCTAATAAGTGTAATCTTCTGCCTAGTCTCTGAATCTGACATTTTTTCACCTACTCAACTATGCTCCATCCACTAGCCTTTCTGTTTACTGCCTCGCCATACATTTTTATTCTGCTTGCCTCTCTTCCCTACATAAACACAATTAATTCTCTCCCATCCAAAACAAAACAAAACAAACCAAAAAAACAAAACAAAACAAAACAAAAACACAAAACCCTGTGCCTGTCTTTCCTCTAGTTATACATTATCACAGACCTTTCTTTCATATATAAATGATTTAATTGAACTGATCTCCATGTATTGGCTATACTCTTAGGCACTTTTCCCAGAAAAATGAAATTTGATGTTCATACTAAAACTTGTACATGAATATTCACAACAGTTTTATTCATGACAGCCTCAAACTGGAGATAACCAAAATGTCCCTCAATAGATGAATGGTTAAACCAATTCTACTACCTCCATACCAGGTAATACTACTCAACTGACAAATCTCCATGAATCTCTAAGGAACCATGTTGAGCAAAAAGCCCAAACCAAAAGGTAACATACTACATGATTCCATTTATATAACATTTTTGAAGTGACAGAATGGCAGGGGTGGATGGAATTGGAGGAAGGTGGTTATGGTAATAAAAGGGCAACATGAAAGATTCTTGTAGCATTGGAGCTATTCACTATCTTGACTGGAGTAGTAGATAAGTGCGCATATTCAGATGATAAAAACTGTATATAATACACACAAATGATTACAAATAAAAGGAAGGAAATCTGAGTAAGATTAGCAGACTGTACCAATAAAAGTGTTACCATTGGGAGATACTGGACAGTGTACAAGAGCTATTTCCATATTATTTCTTAAAGCTACATTTTAATCTACAATTATCTCAATAAAAGATTTAAAAAATAATGAATACTAAGGAAAGTTAAATAGATTATGATGGATTCATAGAATGGAATACTATGTAAGTCCTTTTAAAAATGGGTATATTTACTGTGCTGTGGAAAAGTAGCAAAGAAGAAATAATTGAAAAAAGGCACATGGTAGAAAAATATGCAGAGTAACTATCCACACATACACAGTTTTTTGAAACACAGAAATTTTCTGGGAGAAATTGGGGATCTTTTTAATTTTCATTTCAGACCTTTATGTTGAGTGATTTTTTAAATCATGAATTCTAAAAGCTAGTTTAATTTTACCCATCAGCTTCCTCCTCCAAAGGAAAACAAAACCATAAACAGAAGCAGTATAAAATATTATCCTGTTATCAAACTTATTTAAAGTGCAATTCAAAAGATTTGCTAGGTAGGAAAATTACATTTTTCTATAAAGCAGAATGCACAGGTACACAAAACTTTATGTAGAGAGCAGAGTAAAGGTAAGAGTCATTTTCATTGTGTCCCTCTCTGCTCACCAATTGGCTCTTTATTTTATTTTTTTTTAAGGTTTTTTTTTTTTTTTTTTTTTTTTTTGACAGATCACAAGTAGGCAGAGAGGCAGGCAGAGAGAGACAGGAGGAGGAGGCAGGCTCCCTGCAGAGCAGAGAGCCCATGCGGGACTCGATTCCAGGACCCTGAGATCATGACCTGAGCGGAAGGCAGAGGCTTTAACCACTGAGCCACCCAGGCGCCCCCAATTGGCTCTTTAGATCAGCCCTGTCCAATTACATATCTAAGCACATATGTGATTTTAAATTTGCCAGTTAGCAAATTTTTTAAGTAAAGAATAACAGGTGAAATTAGTTTTAGTAATATATTTTATTTAACTCGTTATATCCAAAATAATATTTAAACATGTAGTCAAAATAAAAATAATTTATTATTAAGATCAACGTAAAGGGGCACCTGGGTGGCTCAGTGGGTTAAGCCGCTGCCTTCCGCTCAAGTCATGATCTCAGGGTCCTGGAATCCAGTCCCGCATCAGGAGCTCTGCTCGGCAGGGAGCCTGCTTCCCCCTCTCTCTCTCTGCCTGCCTCTCTGCCTACTTGTGATCTGTCCCTGTCAAATAAATAAATAAAATCTTTAAAAAAAAAAAAGATCAACGTAAAAAGCTTATATCTTTGTTTTGCCTAGTAATTCTTCGAAGTGTGATGTGTATTTTACACCTACAGGACGTTCCCATTTGGACTAGCGGTATTTCAAGTCTTCAGCGACCACCTAGTGGTTTGGTTACAGGATAGGGCAGTGTAGCCCTAGACGTATCCCAACGTAAATGGTCTACAGTAAACTTCTTCAAATTGATAATAAATCACCTGGAGTTGGCTAAAGCTGCCCAAAGTGGGAAATCTTAAAGAACGCCCCTCTCAACTGTAATTTTTCAATTATAAATAAAGGGAAGGAAATCTACTTTAAAAGGTAACTATAAATCATTTTTAAAATAGGAAATAAAGGAGGAAAGTGCAGGGAGGGAGGGATGAAAGGAACTTTCATTTAGAAAGGGGAAAAAAACAATTATCGAAAAGTCCCTAGATCCTAAGGGTGGCTCTCTAAGTTTTGGGTGAGCTACAAAACCTCCAAAATCTAAAGGAGCCTAGGGCTCCGCGGACTTCAACAGCCACCCCCTCAGCCCGCGGTCTAAAGCCCGGCCTTGGCAGAGAGGGGTCTGCCTCCGTCTGCGCTCCCTTAGCTCGGTCTCGCCTCCCGCGCCACCACCCCCAAGGCTTGAGGAGCCCGGGCTCACCCACCGGCTGCTATATCCCGAGGCTTGGTTGGAAGACGGCGCCCAGAGCCTCCAAACAAAGCGTAACCACGACAACAGCCAATCCCAAGGAAGATGGACCGGTCTTTTCTTACCGGTGCCCCAGTAGGACAAACTATCTCCACTCGAAATTGGCCCGAACGCTGTACCTCAGAAGCTGAAAGAGGAACGTTTTTTCCAGGTAGATTTTAATATTTAAATACTTTGGGAAAGTATTTAATAAAAAAACGACATTTTGCTACAGTTACCCAAGTAAAGGTAGCCTGACCTTTAAATTGTCTCTGATCTATCTATATTTATTACTTGCAACTAGTGAATGTCCAGTTGCCCACGTATAAACGATTCATTCCACCAAATCTTAATCTTGCATAGTGATTTGTGGGGCCTGAAATATGGAAGTGAAGCCAATAAATTGCTTTCCATGACAGCAATTTATTTTTAAAAAGACAAATAAATCAATTATTATTCAATGCCCATCAAAAAACCTCCAAGGGTGTGGGGTGAAATATGTTTTACTGTAAAATATTGACAGTGACACCCGCTGTTTTAACATAAAATTTGAGGCTTAAGTATATATCATGCTGTTTAATTTTAACTTAAAAATTCATCAAAGTTGGGGCGCCTGAGGCAGCCTTTGTCTTCAGCTGAGGTCATGATCCCAGGGTCCTGGGCTCAAGCCCCGCCTGCTTCTCCCTCTCCCTCTGCCTGCTTGTGCTCTCTCTCCTTCAAATAATTAAATCTTTTAAAAAATTCATCTAAGTTCCTTTTACTGTGGAGCAAATACGTAGTATACAAAATGTGAGATTTATTTTAGTTAATAATAGATATTTCTGTTCAATTTTTTTAAGTTTGCAAAGTATTAAATTCCAAGAGGAAGTGGCTAAGCATAATTGTAAAAGATATCTGACACACAGTATACTAAAAGCAAACATTTACTTTGAGCCTTTGAAAGAAAATAGACTATTTCTTGGTAACAATTAACAACACATCAACATAAGAACTAATAATATAGAGTGAGAAATAGGTAGATCTTTGATATTAAAAGAAACACATGTTAGTACCTCACTCAAAGACAATGATTTTCAAAAACCAACTAGTTCTGGTTTCAAATCTAATTAAAATTTAGGATATTTTCATTATCAAAGTCCATGCTCAAGTGTTATTTTTTCTTTCTTTCTTTCTTTCTTTTCTTTTTTTTTTTTTTGTTTTTGTTTTTGTTTAGTTTTGTTGCAAATTTATGGACTATTCAAATTCTTCATTTAAAATACTCAGGCTAGGGGCGCCTGGGTGGCTCAGTGGGTTAAAGCCTCTGCCTTCCGCCCAGGTCATGATCCCAGGGTCCTGGGATTGAGCCCTACATCGGGGCTCTCTGCTCAGCAGGGAGCCTGCTTCCTCCTCTCTCTCTGCCTGCCTCTCTGCCTGCGTTTCTGCCGACTTGTGCTGTCTGTCAAATAAATAAATAAAATCTTTAAAAATAATAATAGTAAAATAAAATACTCAGGCTAGGGGCACCTGGGTCGCTCAGTCTGTTAAGGGTCCTACTCTTGGTTTTGGCTCAGGTCATGATCTCAGGGTGGTGAGATGCATCCCCCCACCACCAAGTCTGCTTGAGATTATGAAACAATTCAGGCTTTTCCTACAGAATATCAAGTCCATTAGTAATCAATTAATTTCCATGACTAATTTTTTTTAGGGATTTTATTCATTTATTTGAGAGAGATTGAGAGCAGGAGCAGAGAGGAGGGGCAGAGGGAGAGAGAGAAGCAAACTCCCCCCTGAGCAGGGAGCCCAATGTGGGACTTGATTCCTGGACTCTGGGATCCTGACTTGAGCCAAAAGCAGATGCTTAACAGACTGAGCCACCCAGGCGCTCTCCAGAAATAATTTTAAATTAGCTAAATTAGTAATCAGCTTTTTAAAAGATGAAGTCTGAGTTGCTTTTTTTCTTAAATCTTACCTTGTGAAATAAATTGATAGCAAAAAAGAAAAATATTGAAAGTTCTGACAATAGTTTATGGTGCATGCTACTACATCTCTTATATTATTATTTTTTACTTTGGAGGAAAACTGACAATTCTATCAATTAGTCATAACTTAGCTATCACTAATTAATATTACTACATAAGGAACAAAATACTACAATTATCTCATATAGTTACAGATTATAAATCAATTTAACTTGAAACTAGTGTTTACCTGTGCAGCATTTAGCATAAGTTTATTTAGTTGAAAATTCCTAGATATTATAGCCTAAAATTGAGTATATCAGTTTGTCCATAACATTTTAACCTGAGTAGGTTTTTTTTTTACTTTTTAATAAGCAGTTTTCATTTCATTAAATTTTTTAAAAGATTTTCTTTATTTATTCATGAGAGGCAAAAGGAGAGAGAGAGAGGGAGGCAGAAGAAGAGGGAGAAGCAGGCTCCCAGAAGAGCAGGGAGCCTAATGCAGAACTCCATCCCAGGACCCCAAGATCATGACATGAGCTGAAGGCAGACACTGAACCGACTGAACCACCCAAGTGCCCCTCTTTTCATTAAATTTTGATACTATTTTGAAAATTATCTGTAGGTCTGGTTAGTTTATAACCTATTGACCTAACACAATATACTTCTCTCAGAGAGCACATAATATTTATTGAGGACGTGAAAGGAGGAAAGATAACTGTCCGTTCCTCTGACATCTGACAAGAATAAGATTTCTTTGAAAATGTTAGTTAGGTGGTGAGATGACTTTAATTTAAAAACATTGTTCAACAGTTGTCTTATTTTTTAGATGGCAGTGATATAATTTAAAGATCCCAGAATATCATTGTGAAGCTCAAATAGTTGCCTAACAGATGTTTGTTTTATTTTCTTGAGGATGACTGTTGTGTAATAATATTTTTAATATGTGACCTACAGTGTTGGATTCTTAAGACTTGTGCTTCTCTTTCTCCCTTTAAAGACTGTCGCAAACTCTCAAGGTCCTTCTCTAATCCTCTTTGTGATCTCTGCAGCTCCCAATGACCAACTTATGTCCATCACTTTGCTACAGTTCCCATTCCCATTTCCCAACCTCTTGTGCTCCTCCTTTATGTACAATTACTATACTATCACAGGATTAATAGGTAACATTTAGCCAGGTACTGGACTAAGTGTGTTCCAACATAATCTCGTTTGATTTTCACAGTATCCCTTTGAGGTGTGTGTTCTTCTACTCTGCATTTACAAGTGATGACACTGGAGGCTTGGGAAGAGTAGCAAGAGAGTGGTTTATATCTATGGATTTGAATCTCAACCCTGCCACATGTTAACTAGTTGAACTCAAGAGCATTATTTTGCCTTCCTTAATCTCTTTTGTCATTGGTAATACTGGGGATAATAACACAATAGTACCTAATTGGCAAAACTTTGATAGTCAAGACAACCAATGTAAATGTCATATTGTAGGATATGCCATAATTGTAATAGCCCAAGTAATTAAGCTCTATAGACCTGAGTTCAAGTTTTATTTTGGTTTCTTTCTAACAACCCATCGCTGGCAATTCGACTTCCTACTATATCTCTCATGTCCCAGTTATCCCCATAACTGACTTACAGTTTAGATGACATCATTTGTTATGAACTAATACGTTAGCTTTGTAAAGTACCTGCCTCTCTTAGGTGTCTTTTCTAATTTGACTTCCACTTTGATGGCAGAAGTATGGTTCTCTATTACCTGCAGAAGAATAAAAGCAAATTCTTAGCAAAGCATATCTGATCTTTCAAAGTCTTTACTGAGTCTATTTATCTAGCCTTATTTTTCATCTCTTGCCATTCTGACCCACGCCCCCATGCCCTTCACTATAAAGCTTGTGAGCACAGTATTCCATCTGCCATGAAATCTTCCTGTCTACCCCATGTTTGTCTGACTAGGACCTTCTTAATCAACCATCAAGGAATATCTCAAGTTTGTCTTCTCTCTGAAATTTCCTAGTTCCCTTTACTCCCTGTCCCTACACCCTCAACACATAATTCAAAGTGGACCATAGGTTTTAATATTTGACTCCTTGACAGGTTATTTATTCACTTCTGTGCTCCCATCTCCCGGCAGTGAGAAGGAATTTACAAAACAGTAACAAAAAGTAATCAGGCTATTATTTAATTAGTGAAAAATGACACCTGTGAATAGGTGAATTATTATAAATTGTCCTTTTCTATATCACTTATACTATTAAAAATATCTGTTATTAGACGATTAATTACCTAATCAGGGAATGATCAAAAAAATTGCCACACCAGGACCTTATCTGATTAAGTTAAAAAGAAATTCTTTATCTATAGCAAAAACAGTGACAAAAACAAACCAAAACAAAACATAGTTCCTCCACACTACAAATATTTACACAGGAACTGCACTAACTTATTGTGTATCTTTGTGTTAGCACCTCTTTATTTTCATTGACGTTGTTTCCAGTATGTGGTGCTTGTGACTGGAAAGATGAGCACATGATCATCTCCTCTTCTCATTCTGTGCAAATATGGGTATGCACTTCCTTGACTTGTTGCTTAGACACCCTGTTTGTTGTGTTCTAACTCTTTAACCTGAACTGCTTCTTCTGGTCTGAACGCTTGTATTACCTCAAAATTCACATGTTGGAATCCTTATATCCAATGAGATGGCATTAGAAGATGGGACTTTTAGGGGGTGATTAGGTCATTGGGGGGATCCTTCTTGCATGGGATTAGTGCTCATAAATGAGACTGATGGAGCTCCTTAGCCCATTTCATCACAGGAAGATACAACAAGAAGTTTGAAACCTGGAAGAGGGTTCTCACCCATGAATGCTGGTGCCCTGATTTCAGATTTCTAGCCTCCAGAACTATGAGAAACAAATTTCTGTTGTTGTTGTTGTTGCTGTTGTTGTTGTTGTTTTCTCAAGATTTTATTTATTTATTTGACAGAGAGAAAAGGAGCATAAGAACAAACAGGGGGAGTGGCAGGCAGAGAGAGAGGGAGAAGCAGGCTCCCCGCTCAGCAGGAAGCCAGATGTGGGGCTTCATCCCAGGACCATGGGATCATGACCAGATGCTTAACTGACTGAGCCACCCAGGCTCCCCATTTCTGTTGTTTATAAGCATCCTAGTCTGTGGTATTTTGATATAGCAGCTCAAATGAATTAAAACACTGCTGTTTTGAAGTTACCATGAACAACTTTCTTACCAAGTTGGCTGACTTTAAGAGTATTGTATTCTTACCCTTTTTGACCTCTATATCATGCAACACTATTTTAGAAAATTATTTCTCTACTGATTTCCATGAGATCATGCTTTGATTACATTCTCATTTTGTAAGAGTCTGCATTAAAAAATTCAAATTCCTAATTATGTCATTCTTTACTATCAAGCATCTACTCACTATTATCTGCAGTCAGTCCCCTCTTGCCCTCTCTTCTATTCTTTTCCAAGACATTAGCTCCTTGTGGATAATTCCCAAATCTGCATAACTTATGCTATCTATTTACTTGCACTCCATTTCTAGTTTTACCACAAAGGTATCTTCTACAAACTCAAACTCATTTTTTTTAAAGATTTTATTTATTTATTTCACAGAGAGAGAGATCACAAGTAGGCAGAGAGGCAGGCAGAGAGAGAGGAGGGGAAGCAGGCTTCCTGCTGAGCAGAGAGCCCGATGCGGGACTTGATCCCAGGACCCTGGGATCAGGACCCAAGCTGAAGGCAGAGGCTTAACCCACTGAGCCATCCAGGCGCCCTCAAACTCATTTATTAAACATGAAATATATGAGTGACACCTGGGTAGCTCAGTCAGTTAAGCATCTGCCTTCAGCTCATGACTCCCAGGGTCATGTGATCAAGTCCCACACTGGGCTCCTTGCTCAGTGCTTTTCCCTCTGCTTGCTGCTCCTCCTACTTGTTCTCTCTCTCTCTCTTTCTTTCTCACAAATAAATAAATAAAAAATTTTTAAAAATAAAAAATAAACATGAAATATACGTTTTTTTCAATTTTCTGAATTTTTCTATTGTCAGTGATTACCGCTTTCTTTCTTTAATTTTTCCATCCTACAGGAATCCTTCTGATTATCTTTACTTCTTTCTTTTCCATAATAAGGCATATTGAAACTATATCCAAGCCCTCTTTTTCTCCTCTATCTCTTACAATGCACTTTCTCAACTGTTGGGCATTTTGTTTGGCTCTTCTCACCCTACTTCACTTCTTTCCTTCATCTTGGGCACATAGTTGATTCCATCCCCATCTGAGACCTGCCATGTGACTTAGTATGTGCCGATGGAATACGAACAGAAGTGGGCAACTTTCACCTCATTTGCTTGAAAGATGCTTCCCCAGGTTTACTCAAACTCCTTTCCTTTCTGCTGACTACACAGGATGACGCCCTGAGGAAATTTGGGAGCCAGACATGGAATAGGCGGAAGCAAGCCCCAAGACCCTAAGATGATCTCCTAGAAGAGAGCCAGTTACCCACCTTGGACTGAAAGAGAAATAGGCTTCAGTTTATTTTTGTAGGTGGCTCCTTTAATAAAGCATGTTAGCCCTGATTCTAACATGCTAATTATTACCAAATCAACAGTCAAGTCTATGCCTCTCAGTTCTTCACCAGAGTTCCTGCCATGTTCTTGTTCATTACTCTACTTTCTCGTTCTCATTCACGGAGGCCCAGGACTTTGGTCCTGAGAAATTGTTTTGGCAATAGGAGAGGGTCACAACTTTCTTACAGGCTGAAGTAAATAGATTTGAAGCCAAAATTATATATCTACTGTATCTTAGGGAGAAATCGAAATAAAAATCAGGTAGTCTTGTTCTATCCAAACAGGCCGGACACTAGAAAAATCTAAGAATAAGGCTGGAGACGGAAACTGGAGAAACCAAATGGCAGTAGGGGACTTCAGAGCAAAGGGTGGAAGACAAAGCCTGGAGAGACTCCTCCAGCTGGGAAGGAGAACCATGGTGTTTCAGGGGAGGAATGTGGCTTTGGGTCAGACTAGGGAGGGGAAGTGCATAGATTCTAACCTAGAGATCTCTTATTTCTTCACTTTCCAGGGCGTACTTCAGTTCAACAAACAGAGGTCTTCCCAACTAGAGACAAAAGGCTTCAAATTAATCTTATTAAATCTGCTTTCAGGGGCGCCTGGGTGGCTCAGTGGTTTAAAGCCTCTGCCTTCGGCTCAGGTCATGATCTCAGGGTCCTGGGATCGAGCCCCACATCAGGCTCTCTGCTCAGCAGGGAGCCTGCTTCCCCCTCTCTCTCTGTCTGCCTCTCTGCCTACTTGTGATCTCTCTCTGTCAAATAAATAAATAAAAATCTTTTTTAAAAAATCTGCTTTCATCATGTCAATTATGCACTGCATGATTAAAACACTATAAACTATGGGATACCGGGGTAGCTAAGTCAGTCAGGCATCTGTCTTCTGCTCAGGTAATGATCCCAGAGTCCTGGGATCAAGTACTGAATCAGGCTTCTTGCTCAGTGGGGACCCTGCTTCTCCCTCTGCCTGCTGCTCTTCCTGCTTATGCTCTCTTCTCTCTCTGACAAATAAATAAATAAAATCTTAAAAAAATAAAACACTATAAACTATAATACTTTGTAAAATATGGTACTAGCCTGAACTGAAACAATGAAGGAAAAGAGAAAACCCAGAAACATGCCCAAGAAAATTTAAAACCTTCATATCTAATAAAGCACCAAACACCAATGATCTAAGTGTTGATTTTCCCATAAAAGTTTCAGGAAACTAAATTACATACTGTTAGTTAACACAACCTTAAGTTGGTTTGTTCCCTTCCATTGTATGCCAAATTACTCCCTAATTAAATAATCTGATTCACCTACTCATTTATTAATTCAACAAATATCTAGTGAGTAGCTACTGTGCCCTACACTTTGGGATTATAATTTTTATAAGACCTACTCTGTCCACTAATAGACCTCAGAGTCTACATGGGAAGAAGAGACAAGTAAAGAGAAAATAGAGGGGGCAACAAATTGAGGTTAGGTAAAGGCTTCCAAGGTGAGACCTCAGTGAGGAATCAATATTAGTCTGGGAAAGAGGAGGGACAGGCAGAGGTGAGGGAAAGCTTTCCAGCAAGGAGAACAAGGTATGTTAAGACTAGAAACAGAATAAAATATTTTACTTTCTGAAAATTAAAAGAAGTTTAGGAAGGTGGCTATTGGCATGTTATTCAAACGCCTTCTTGGTCTCAACTGCGTAGTGCAGATAGAGAAGACAGGCCCAGTCTCAAGATATCTTCAACATGTCATTATATTTGGGAGGGTGGAGGGGAATGTTATATTGACAACTGGTATCAGAAGAAAAATGTGCAAATAAATGACATGAGCAGGCAGAATTATTTAAAGTTGTTAATGTGTTGACTATTTATAGTAAAAGTTGTGGTTATCTTTTCAGGAACACCTATATCCGGGGAGAAAAAGAATGTTAAGAAAAAACAAAATGTTAATTTTTAAATACTTTCTTAATCTCATTAACGGAGCTTTCTTGGTAAGAGTCTTTATAATTATTTCATAAAGAAAATGTAATGCATTTTTATTGGCAAATATAAGCACTGACTCTCTTTTCTGTAGGTTCTTGGACTTTTACTCATGGGATTTGGTACATGGCTCTTACTAGATAGAAATAATGTTTTCATAGCTTTGGGTATGTATCTATTTTTCTTTTGCTCTCTGAGTGAAGCCAGGCATTCCATTTTAAATAATTGCTCGCATGATTTATTCAGCAGGTGGCACTATTTCTCCAAAATTCATTAAGCATTATCCAAGAATGGAAGATTGTGGATTGTTCTAATACACTCTGAAAGAAAAGTGTGGAGACCAACATAGTGCTCAAGTTAAATCATTTCTTTTAAAACTCAATTACTCTCACCATCACGTTGCAAATAAAATATAATGTTATTCAAATATAAATGAAATAGTTGAATGTGTTTAGCTGAATTTAGAAACCCTTCATTTTACAATTTTGTGGTACGCTGTGGTCACTATGGACTGAAGTTTAACAAAGTGTTATTTTCGTACGCTTATCCTTGGTGGTTGAAAAGGAAGCCATATTTCAACTGCTCGGTAGTCCTATGTGGCTATTGGGTATTGGCTATGTTATTAGGCCGTGCAGATTTAGATTCTTTCCACTTGTCCGTAAGTTCTATTAGACAACACTGTTATCATTAAATGCATGACAAAAGGCATGTGTACTCTAGAACAAACATTCCTTTGTGGACTTTAAGTAAGAAAAAAATACATTTGTAGGAAAACAAAAGCTAAATAAAAAGACTTAATAGGTAATAGAGTGTTATAAAATATTCTAATAATTTAGTTTATATTTAGTATATATAGTATATATATAATTTAGTTTAGTTAAAAAAATAACTAATAATTTAGTTGAACTTCACCTACACCTAAAGTGCCTGGTATCTTTATTCTCTTCTGTTCATATGCTTTGCTTATGGCAAAGTATTCATGATGTCCGAGTGCACACCTGGTTTGCTCAGAGTACGTGGGTGTGTGGAGATCTTACGACAGCCTTTCTGTCTTCCTTTCCTTCCCCAGAAGAATGGCAATGATAGCTTCCACTTCTTTAGTGTTCCCATAGAGTATCTACTTTAATAATGTAGTAGTTAAGGTAGAGCAAAAGTCGTTTTCTTTTCTTTCCCTCCCTTATGGAATTGAAAGATAATTGTCATTAGCCTTAACCTTAATTCACCTTAACCTTAATTCACCTTAATGTACTTGAATGTTGGGGGGGGGACCCTAAACAGTCAGAGACTTATCCTTTAATTTCTGTTTGTTTTTTTTAATTATGTATTTAAACATTTAGCGACATCTCAGCTAAGATTTTAAGATATGGAACTGAAAATAACCGGTTTGTGGCAAGACACTGATTGGTTCCTCCACTCTCTTTTATCTGCAACTTCCAGTGAACTTACCTCTTCTTAAAAATGATTCTGCCTTGGGCGCCTGGGTGGCTCAGTGGGTTAAGCCGCTGCCTTCGGCTCAGGTCATGATCTCAGGGTCCTGGGATCGAGTCCCGCATCCGGCTCTCTGCTCAGCAGGGAGCCTGCTTCCCTCTCTCTCTCTCTCTCTCTCTGCCTGCCTCTCTGTCTACTTGTTATCTCTCTCTGTTAAAAAAAAAAAAAAAATTTTTAAAAAAAAAAAAATGATTCTGCCTTCACCTCTCCATTTGTAGTAACACCAGACCACCTGTGATCCCTATCTTCCTTCCCTTTGCCACGAAAATAACGTCCAGTAGCCTTGTGTTCTGATCTCCTTTCTCAGCCATCTTCCAAATGTCACCGAAATAATTTAAGATGAAAATCTACCCGTATAACATGAAAAGCTTTTTTCTGGTTCCCCACTGCTATTTTTTATTCATAGGACAAATACTTACAGAGTCTATTCTACATGTTAGGCACAATCCCGTCAACGGAGGACAAGACAGATTTTTGTCCTCGTGAAGCTTAATTCCAGTGATGAAGACCGATAAGAGCCTAAAAGTGTGCATAATTTGGCCCCAGCAAACCTTCCCAGTTTCACCTGCTTCCGACCCTAAGGGCCAGCAAAGCTGAATTTCCAACACATACTGTGCTGTTCTGTGTCCCAGAAGGCCTCTGTCATTCCAACCGAGATCCTTCCAGTTCTCACTTGAAGCCCAAGCACAGTGTTGCCTTCACCAGCAATCTTACCTAACTACACTCTCCAGTCTCCTCCCTCTACTGGCTTAGGGGCTCCTGTACCCAGGGGTGTGCTGGTACATATTTAACAACTGGCTCTGGGATAGAAAGTCTTGATTTATGGTATTTACTGATTTCTGTGGTTTAAAGATATAATGCCACGATGGCTGATTTCACTGTGCCAATGTGAACTGAGTTGGCTGATGAATTTTGTGAAAATTGAACAGTTGGCGTTTATGAGCCAGAACAGGCTGGCTCCAACAACTGTTCTCCCATAAAACCTGGGGCATATTTAATTTATTTTTTCTTCTTCTTCTTCTTTTTTTTAACAAATATTTGTTAGGCACTTAGTGTTCTACAGTCTGTGTCATAACACGAAGCATTTAACAGTTAGTCTGTTGACTATATAAATATATATATATAGTCTCTAGCAGAGAAAGCCCAATCTAGATGGAGAGAGAATAAAATATAGTTTTAATGGGGTCATATTACCAATAAACTCAGACTTTCATATAAGAAAAACTTAACCAACATGTGTGTAGATGACCCCCAAATTTTTATGAATAAATTCATAAACGTTTAGATGTTCATTAAACATAGAAGAGTTCACCCCAGGAAAAAATTTCTGCTTTCATAGAAGACAACGAAGATAAGGCAAAGGGAAAGAGATCTTTTGAGATTGAAGAAAGTTTCTATTATATCATTAATGGAAGAAAAATTGTTGCCAAGGCTAAGTAAGAGGGTGCTAGAATGAAGTTTAAAAAAGAGAGATGGAGAATCCTACAGATTTGGCAGAAACTGCTTGGGGAAATCTTGGGTTACTACATATATTATTAAATAGAACACAACATTACTTGATAATAATTTATTTTGTGGTTTCCACAGATGAAAATAACCACTTGATAGTATATATTTTTCAAATTTTGATGGGAACTGGATCTGCTATCGTTCTTCTTTGTCTCTTGGGTTATTTGGGAATTCACAATGAAATCAGATGGCTCCTACTTCTGGTATGTATTTCATTTTAATAACATGAACTAATTTGTATCTTCGATTTTGAGTGTCTGTGTCTCACCAATGAGAAATAGTGATTTACATCACCGTAACACTGCAGCATAGGGAATAAGGTAAATGAAGCACTCTCTTTCGAGAAGCTTCTAGGTAGAATGTTCTCGGAGAACTTTCCATGGATCAAATCTGGCCTTCTGCACTTAACACTTAGATATTACTTTTTAACAGAGTCAATAGGAATCCATCTCCTAGGATAAACTACAATTAACCAAAATTAAGAATCTGAAGACTAAAATCCAAATAAACGATTAAGGCCAACAAGCAATGGGACCCAGCAAGGAAAAGAAAACATGTCCTGTACTCAGCATGTTTTCTCCCTGTGGGAATGCCATGTGGGAAGCTAACTTATAACTGAGATCACAATTTATTATTTAACAAAGAGAAATAAAACTGCTGAGAGGCCAGACTCTGGCATCTGGCTAGCACACTCTGTCTCCCTAACCATATAATGTGAAGAGATAAGCTATAATTAGGAATATAGACATGAACATGAGCCATTTACCATACATGTGGCAGGTATGGGTCACAATTCACACACTCAGATGAAACATAGCTTTTAAACATTTTATTTTAATCAAATCAGTTTTGATTCACAGACACTCTCTTGTCCAACAAAATGAAATTCAACTGCAGACATTGTGTCTCTTACCAGGAAGAATGAGGAAAGACTTAGCTTTTATGCAGCACTGAAAGTCTGGGTGGTTGATTGGTCAATGTGGCATTGGTTATCAGTCTTCACTGGTTACCATGAAAACTCTCACTTTCCCAGCTCGCAGGATCCTTTCCGGTCTACTCATTCTGCTGTTTGAATGGTCTAGGGTGGCAAAGGCAGAGCAGCTCTTCATGCAGTTTACAGTATATCATCCAGAATACCATATAGTTTACCGTATAGTGCCGCAGTGAAACCTTTTGTGAAGGACTGGTAGAGAGCATGACCTCAGCTCCTTCTCCACAGTATGCTTCCCCTGAAACATTCACCCTCCCAGTGACACAGCAATTAAAGGACTAACGCCTGACACAGGGATTAGTTATTTCCCAATAATTGATAGCTCTTCTAATTTGAATATTCCCCCAGCAGAGGCTTTTTGGGCAAAGCTGGAAACCACACTTCCTTTTCCCTCTGTGGTCTGACCACTCACCTGGGGAACTCCAGGAAGCCCAGTGAGAGACTCTGTTGTTCTGGGAATGAATAAGCCTCCACGATCAGTCTCAGACTCTTTTTAGTCTAAAAAGAGACTTCACTCTCTCTTCTCAAATCCCACCTTTCTCTTCTTCCATGATACTGAGCACAATTTTCTCACTGGGCTTCTAATTTTGGATCTGGAGACCAGGACAGAAATGACTTACAGGAAAGTTTTGATTTGCTCCTTGCCATAAATTTCCATTTAGGCAAAGAAAGCACAGAGCTTGGTACTAGTGTAAGATGGGGTCAGTAAGGAAAGGGGAAACTAGAGGGAGAAAAACAGATATCTTCTAAGTTTCTCCCTTATTAGATTCAAGTATTAATGGGCTGTGACTGAGAAGTCTGACAGACCTCATCATAAGGAATGTACATAAGACTGGGTCCTGGAGCCAAGACACCACACTCTTCTCTGGATGCCCCAAGGAAGGGCACTGCTACATTTGGCCATCAGGCCACTTTTGCTCTTCTCCTCTGAATTTACCAATACTTTTCTGATGGATACATTTTTCCTTTAACCATGTTAATTCACACAGTCAGGTTATGGTCCAAGTTTATAGGCCTAAGTACTATACTTTGGCTTAATGGTGACTTTGCACATGCCTACTCCAATTGAATAGATACTAGTTTTACAGTTTAAACTTTGTTTTTGGCTCTATTTGGGGTTTGGTTTTGTTTTTAGGATTTTCTTTTCTTTGGAGAGGGAGAGAGAGAGAGCATGACTTGGGGGAGGGGGGCAGAAGAAGAGTGAGAGCACACTCCCCACCAAGCAGGGAGCCCCACACAGGGCTCGATCCGAGGACCCTGAGAACATGACCTGAGCGAAAGGCAGACGCTTAACTGACGGAGCCACCCAGGCACCACTTTGGGACAGTTCTACTTCCCTTTTTTAAAAGTTCTTGGGCAGTATCTCACTGTACTCTCTAAGTACTAATAACACATAAATAACTGAATTTTTCTTATTACGATAAACATCTAACTACTGTTAAAAGGGAATCTTCAAAGGTAAAAATCATGCCTTACATTTGTGTCAATGAACATGTGTCAGAGACTTGATTTAAATCATCAGTAAGGGAACCAGTAAGAAGTAAAAACTGGTTGAAGGAGAATTAGAGATTTATATTCTCTATGGACTATATTCATTTGCCTTTCCATGAAAAGGAATCATTTTGCATTGCAACGGACAGGGAACTTTTGTATTACTATCAGAATTCTGTAAGTTAACTGTATACAGAATTGAACGGTAGTTTCATCAAAGGTAATATTGCATACCCCCACAGGATCAGAAACCTGGGAATGTTCATTAGACCACAACCAGCTTGCCATTAAAAAGAAACCCAGTAATATTCTTTTATTGTTTTACACAATTTTTCCTGCCTCTACCAATTTTCTTTTAGTGAAGATTAACAGATATCGTATATAAAAGTATTAAAAATCTGAACTTCTAAACAGATCTAAAGACCATATTTTTGTCTCTGAAAATAGGAAGTATAATTTATATCAACCAACAAATTTTAGTTAACTGTTTTAAAGTAGTAATGTTTAAAATATGTGAAATTAAGAATACTAACAGTAAGTCATTCTTATATTTTAGTTAGTTAAATATTCATACTGCTAATTTTTAAAAATCATTATAAATTCTAGATAATATGTGCTACTATGTGCTCCTATCATGAAGAAGATTGCAGTGACCATAAGTTTAAAAAATATAGTTACATAAGTGTGGAAATAATTTCACTTGACTTGGATAGAAGTATTTTCAGTTTTCAAAGGAATAGTTTAAATGTGTATAAAGACTTCATTTTACTCTAGCAGATGCTTTTGTTATTTTCTGGGGGTTTGTTGTTATTGTTACTTTGTACTTGACGGGTTTGTGTAGTAAGTCTCAATTCAGTGAGATTTCTAGTGTTAGCAGACTGGATGTTAAGGGAAGGTCCAGATAAGTGAGTTCCCTGCTATGACAGTTTTGGATTTGAATGAAGGAAAATCATCAACAACTTTGTTAGACCAAGTGGTCTATAGCGTGCTCACTGAACACTATCACTTCTCTCTTAATTCTTATCCAAATGCTCAGTGAATTTTATTCTTTGCCTTTTTGTTTGAATAACTTCACTCATGTATATGAAAGCAGGGGGCCATCAATACCTGTGTGTATTTTAAGACTGTATATTTCCTAGACATGTGTTTTGCCATCCCTGAAGCATCTAAGACATATATTAGAAGCACAGTTGCCATCTCTGTTTTTCTTTTGTTTCAGTACACAGCACTGCTAATGTGGGCCTTTGGTGTTCAGGTTGTGCTTTCAACATTCATCTTTATAAAGAAAAAGGAGGTATGGAAAGATCATCTTTTTATTTGAAATCTAAAGAAAATTAGATATCTTAAATTATTGAGAGCTATGAGCCTATATTAAGAGTGAAAGGTAAATGGCTTTGCGGGGTGGTGGGGGGCAGATTCATTGGAAGTACTATACAATTCTCTAAGGAAAGGGCCAGGGGTCAGATCTGAAAGGGAGCTAGGGAAATTTATCTTCAACTCAGCAGAAGATTGAGAAAAATATAAACAAAGAACATGGGGGAAGAAGGGGTGATACTGAGTGCAGGAAATCCAAAATTGGCCCCCAGCCAACTGTGGCTACCATGATTGACCCAATTCTATTTTTCTATATAGACTGACCATACTCTATTTTTTATAAAGAAATACCTTTAGATTTGTACAAATTTGAAATTTAGTGACTTTACTTAAATTAGATAAACTGGAAGCACCTAGGTGGCTCAGTTCATTAAATATCCAACTCTTGGTTTCAGCTCAGGTCATGATCATGGGTTGTGATATCAGGCTTCCTGCTGAGCAGAGAGTCTGCTTGAAGATTCTCTCCCTCTGCCCCTCCCTGCCCACCCCCTCAATTAAATTTTTTAAAAAATCTTTAAAATAACAAATGAATAAATAAATAAATATGAACTGAATAATTCATGTATTTTGCACAGGTGTGGGTCATGAGTGATATGATTAATCACAATAAGATTTACATGTATCAAATTAACATAAAAAACATATAATAAATTATCTGGGAAAAAAAACTTTTGGAAACAACACTTATCTATTAATAAGGTCAATGATGACTTGTAATTTTTAAAGAGATTTCATGGTTTCAGTGCAATCATGGTCTATATTTGTGTTGTGGGAGATTGTCCTGCAGGGAAAGAACACGGATTTGAAGTCATACAGATCTGCAGATGGCGAGTGCTCAACAAGCTACTTCATAGCCCTGAGCCTATGTCTTCCTCTGTATATATGCTTCATTCCTACTTCCCATATAGAGTGACCATCAACTGACAACTTAAAAAGTTTCTGTTACAGAGTAGCTACTTAAGGACTCTCTTCCTTTCCTTAATTAATTTCCAAAGAAAGCCTCTGACTCATTCCTGTGCTTCCTAGCCTTCAAATCTCTCTGATGTAGAATCCCAAACAATGACCAAACCCCCCAAAAATCTTTCGTACATAACACCATTGCCCTCCAGCTTCATTTGCTCTCCTGTGCTTGCTATCTGTCCTGGATATCTAACCACCCAGGACTTCTTGCTAATGACCTAACACTTAGTACTAAAATTTCTTCTCGTGTGTGAGAGTGTGTGTGTGTGTGTGTGTGTGTGTGTGTGTGTGCAGCCTGTGAGTTCTGTAAAGCTGTTTTTGTGGCAAACCACTACATCCTAGCTGATCAGCCTCTCACTTTGGTGAGAGGTTATACAACTTGAATATAACACTCAGGGATCCTTTGCACATAAATTTAATTCATCAACGTTGTCCATAGTCACTTAGCTATTATTCACATACACATCTCTACTAAGAATCAGAAAGGCAGGGGCACCTGGGTGGCTCAGTGGGTTAAAGCCTCTGCCTTCAGCCCAGGTCATGGTCTTAGGGTCCAGGGATCAAGCCCCGCATCGAGCTCTCTGCTCCGTGGGGAGCTTGCTTCCTCCCCCCTCTCTCTCTCTGCCTGCCTCTCTGCCTACTTGTGATCTCCGTCTGTCAAATGAATAAACAAAATCTTAAAAAAAAAAAAAGATTAAAAAAAAATCAGAAAGGCCATTTGAGAATAATTACCATGTGCCAGAAATTGGGATAACCACTTTATAGGCAATATAGTTTTGATCCTCACAACAACCCCCAGAGATGCATTGTTAGTCCTACTTTCTAGAACAGGAGACTGAGGCTTTGAGAGGAGAAATACTTGCTAAAATACATCATGGCCAAATGATAGTGCCTGGATTCAAACACTTATTAACTGAGTCTAGAGCTAACAGTTTTGTTTACATTGATTTTTCTTCTATATTCATATTAGATTAAGCTCTTAGGAGCCTCTAAATCTTTTATGCCACTTACAGCGCCCAACAGTGTTGAAGGTACAGTAGGGCTTCAATGGATGTTTGTCAAAATAAATATGGGTGAGGGAGTTTTATTTATATAGTAGTCACAGAGATCATATGTAATACTCTTATGTACTAAGATGTGATTTATATACACTCTGGAACTCCCAAATAATGCTTTAGAGGGTAAATAAGGGCTTAAGTCTGCTCCTTCCCCACAACAATATAAAACGGAAAAATATTTTCTATTCTAAATAAAACTTGGGTGCCTGGGTGGCTCAGTTGGTTAAGTGAATGCCTTCGGTTCAGGTCATGATCCTGGAGTCTCAGGATCTAGTCTCACATCAGGCTCCCTGCTCAGCAGGGAGTCTGCTTCTCCCTCTGACCCTCCCCCTTCTCATGCTCTCTCTTTCACTCTTTCTCTCTCAAATAAATAAATAAAACCTTTAAAAAATAAACTTAGAAAATAAGTTCAATAAATAACTTAGAGATCTTGTACACATGGTTTAAATGTTGTGGTACTCCCACCAGTAATTTTATTTTCATTACTCAAAGACAGCATAATACAATGGGAAATCATTAGACTAGAATTCAAATGAACCATATTTAAAAGTTTCATCTCCTCATCATTATTCATGTAAACAAAGCAAATAACTAAATTCTCTGAGTATCTATCTCCTTGTTCACAAAACGGAAATACTATCTCTGCTTTCTACCTTTTATCTTAGCTACGAAAGTCATATAACCTTTTAAATATTTAAGCAAGTTACTATTAAAATTTACTTCCACAATATATAGATTTTGAAATAGTAGTTCCCCCCCAAACCTTCAAATCTGATTTTTTTGTTATAGTATTTTGAAAGGATAATTTTTTTCAATTAAAAAACATAATTCTTGGATTAATATACAGTAGGCACAAGTCAATGATTTTATTTAACATCTGGATTAATGTGGGAACCGGTAAGAAGTGAAAACCAGTTTGAGGGAGAGTCCAAAGAGAAGACAGTTATAAAGATCATATCTTAATATATACAAAACATGGTTGAGGGGCAATACCAGTTATATGCCACCAGGAAAAATTCATTTGTATTTCTCCGACAAAGAATCAATTGTCTAACAATAGCTTACTACGACTTACAAAAGTTGTAAAGTAAGTTAAAAACTGAGAAAGGTACAGACCCCCCATAGGAAGACCCTGAAGTTATGCTAAAGAAAGCCTATTCCTGGGGCACCTGGGTGGCTCAGTTGGTTGGGCGACTGCCTTCGGCTCAGGTCATGATCCCAGAGTCCTGGGATCGAGTCCTACATCAGGCTCCCAGCTCCATGGGGAGTCTGCTTCTCCCTCTGACCTCCCCTCTCATGCTCTCTCACTCTGTCTCTCTCTCCAATAAATAAAATAAAATTAAAAAAAAAAAAAAAAAAGGAAAGCCTATTCCATTGGAAAAATACTCAGCAATCCTTTTGGGTCATTTCAAGGTCTTTCACAATTTTTTTCTGAGGGTACAAGAAGAAAGGCAGAATCCTTCAACATTCAGAAGAATGGCACATAACTTACTCCCTAATCATAAAATAAATCTCATATATTCCTCCCATAGATCACAATGCAAAAAACCAAATGCCTCCACACTCACATGACATTGTTAAAAAAGAGAATAAAGAAGAAAAAGAAAACGCTTAGGAATAAGCAGAAAACAGCAAACTGACTAGAATACTCTCTTATTAGGAACCATAAAGAAAGTTTCTTTCAGATTTTAACCTTTTTTCTTTCCAGATTTTTATTTAAATTCCAGTTAGTTTATAATTTCAGGCATAAAATTAGTGATTATATATACAATGGAATATAACTCAGCCATAGAAAGAATGAAATCCTGCCATTTGCAACAATATGGATGGAGCTAGAGAGTATTATGCTAAGCAAAATAAGTCAGTCAGAAAAAGACAAATATCATATAACTTCAGATTTTGACTTTTGATCAATTTTCAACAGGTTCACCAAGTATTGCATGATAAAATTGACTTAATCATTATTGAGTATGGATCTAAAGATATGCCTGAAGATATACCCAAATGGATTATTCTGAATTCTCTACAGAAAACAGTAAGAAAAAATGAACATAAAACTAAAAAAAAATGAATGTCAAACATGATCACCATAGTGTCTGTCAATGGAGGAAGGTAAGGGCAGGACATAGGGACAGAGAAGCGAGAGGTTTTTATATTTCTTTTCCCCAGAACTGGCTTAATAACACTGTTCCCACTTACAAATCTTGAGTTTTATCCTTCTTTTGTAATTTATATCTCCTATTCTTGGTTAACTGATGTGCATTTTAACCTGGTTTCACCTGTAGAAGAGCTGGTGGTCTTCTGCCAAGTGGGGTAGTCTGCCCTGCGGCACCTGTGAGAGAGAAGTCCCAAGACAGTCGTTGCCAGCTGCAAGGAAGCATGTTAGTTAACATTTGAGCCAGAATGTCAGGTTTGCCACATAGCTTTTTGACCCTGGACAAGTAAACCTATTAATTTCAAGTTCCATATTTGTAAAATGGACAGAATAATCCTTGCCTCTGGTTGGCAGGAATCAATGAAGTCATATATAGAATGTATAGGGAACCTTGGATCTGGAACATAATAAGTAACTAATACTTGTTAGCTAACATTATTAGGATTATTTCACAGTTCAAATATATCTAGGCAGGGTACAGGAATGGATATTGTCTCCCAGATGGTTTACAGGAATAGATCAGCAGCTGGAAGACCATAAATGCTTGATAAAGAAAATAGCAAGCATTGACATAACCGCAGACCTTTTTGTAAGTGTTTTGCATGTATCAACTCATCTAATCCTTCCAATCCAGTGAAGTAAGAACTATTATCCTCATTTTATAGGTAGTAACATACCCAGGGTCACACAGCTAATTAAGTGGAAGAGCCAAGATTCAATTCCAGAAAATGTAGTCTTAGATGTTGTACTCTTAACTACTATACTAGGTGCCCCCACATAAACATAGTTATTATTCTTGGTGTATATATTAACAGCATGGCATTTTAGGAGAATTGAAATATAATTATAAATGCTTTTACTCATCTTGGTTTTTTTTCCCCCCTCCGATATATATGTGTGACATGTACATGTATTGCCTTTTTGGATTGCGCTAGGACTGATGGCAGAGAATCAGACCCTCCTGGGAACATAAACTGATGAACAGGAAAACAGTTCTATGTATGACATCACTATTATTAATGAGAGTTAAGCTTATAATTCCCGTCATGAGTGTAGTTGAGATAGTACATACAGATTCGATCAAGCTCATTTTCAATACCCAAACTCTAAAGCATTATTTTAGTCATTCATTTCCAAGATTGTTGGTACATATTGTGACATAGGCAGGACTGATGTCATAATTTTCAATAACAAGGTTAGAAAACAATGAAATATTCACTCCAACTTTGTCTCTTATTCTTGGTGACAAAAACATAAGCTGATTCTTTCACATCCTTCCAATTCAACTTTATAGGATTGGAAATGAGATATTTCTTAAATATCTTATCATTTCTATGGCTGTTTGCCTTATCATCCTTTTTGGGTCTCTGTGGCTATTTTCACACAATACAAAATTGGAAGTTAATATCTTACATTAATCCTAAGAGAATAAAAAGAACCCTGAATCTCTCTATGTATATTACATACATATGGCAGCATTTGGGGGATAAATGTAAAGAGAACTGCTACAGTGGGAAGGGAGATATGGCAACAATGATTTCCTCTTCTGTATTCTGGTCCAGGCATAATTTGTAGCTTCAGTAGGGCAGGTTCACCTTCTATCCTGTGTTCCTTTATGCTAAGTTCAGACCTAACAATTTTATGCAAACATAGCCCACTTATATTTAAAGGTCTTTAGTTCTGGTTAGCATCAACAACAGTAGCAACAAAGTATGGATTAAACCAACAAAACTATGCTTATATTTGTAACTCACTACATTCCAATGGAGAAGAATACATCTTCTTCACAAAAACTACTTTATTGTGCCTGGGAATCATAATTAACTGCATTCTGAATATTTTATAGTAAAATTCATAGAATTTTTTTTTCTAGCTGCAGTGTTGTGGCCAGTACAATTACACAGATTGGATAAAGAATAAAAATAAAGAAACTCCAGAACAGGTGCCATGTTCTTGCACAAATTCTACATTAAGAAAGTGGTTTTGTGATGAGCCACTGAATGCAACTTACCTAGAGGTAAGGATAAAGCTCTCTAAGTGTTTACACTGCCTTCTTTGTTGTTTTTTTTTTCCAAGTCAATTTAGAATTCTGAGCAAAGTTTTATAAAAAAACAATTTTATTCACAGTGATTAGGTTCTCCAGTTACTTTATGAGACTAAACTCATAATTAGATGAATAATTATTTCAGGTATATAATAAATAAATTAAACTTTCTGAAATTATACCATGTAAGTGCTCCTAGAACTTAGAATACCATCAACCTTTCTCTCCAATCCATGTTCTCAAATCCCTGCAAACAGAGGAGGCACTTTTGGTAAATCTCTGGTGTTTAGGGTTGGTAAGGGAGTTGCAGTACCAGAAGCAAAGAGTTATGAGGATTGGCAAAAACTGAAGGGAGGGGAGCCTAGCAATGACACAAGCAGTGTTCAGGTAAATGTAGCAGAAGCAAGAGTAGGGGTTCATCTGCTACTTACAGTTAGAGGTTACTGATAAATGAGATTTTCATCCCAAGAACTTCTAATATTTTATATAGTTTGTATGCTGATGTTATTCTAACTGTAAGATTTATTTTTCAATTACATAATTCATTCATAGATAAATAGAGCCTTATGTTGTTTTAAAAATCTTTTCCTGGGACGCCTGGGTGGCTCAGTCATTAAGCGTCTGCCTTCAGCTCAGGTCATGATCCCAGGGTCCGGGGATCGAGCCCCACATCCAGTAGCCTGCTCGGTGGGAAGCCTGCTTCTCCCTCTCCCACTTCCCCTGTTTGTGTTCCCTCTCTCACTGTCTTTCTCTGACAAATAAATAAATAAACTCTTTTAAAATAATAATACAATAAATTTTTAAAAATAAATAAATAAATAGCTTTTCCTATTTGAGAAATAATCATTTTAGGTTGAAGTATATACCTTGCTGAATTACAGTAATCTGCAGAAAATTAAATCACTCTCTAGATTTAATAAATTTCTGATTTCAGAGCACCTGGCAGGCTCAGTCAGTGGAGTGTGCAACTCTTGATCTCAAGGTTATATGTTCGAGCCCCACATTGGGTGTAAAGAGTACTTAGAGATAAAATCTTTTAAAAAATTTTCTGAGTTTAAGTACATGACATCTTAGTAACTTTAAAAGTAGTAACTGAGATGTCATGCTATCATATGAATTTCTCTGGGCTAAAAAGTCTGGTCTCCAGTTACACATTTACTTGCTTTTTAGACTTTGGTAAATTATTATCTCTATGTTTCTTCTTCTTTGTAATAGAATTACATATAAGACCATTTCCATCTCCAAGTCAATCCAAATAACTTTTTTTCCTTAGGGTTGTGAAAATAAGATCAACACATGGTATAGTGGTAATGCTTTAACATTAATCGGAATTAACTTTGGACTTTTGGCTTCAGAGGTAAGCTTTTGTTCATATGTTTAAAGGCAAAAAAATATTAAGTAGAAACCATACATTACAAACTACAGAACAACCAACCGGAGTCCTAATCAGACAAATTAATACACTAGGAGTCAGGATCTTGAGACTATCCACATCCAGGAGAGATGCACATCCTAACTGGAAGTGATATCCCCAAATCAGCCAAGAGGGATGATCAGTTAACAAATGGTCATCCAGGAATGTAGTAATTTCATTGCTTTGTGAGATAAAAAAAAAAAAAAACAAAAAACTTCATCTCTCAGCAGCAAAAGCCCATGCCAGACAGTCTTCATGTTGGCAAAATGGAAATCTAGACTGATGTTTGTTTGACATTAATAAGTCTACTATTCACTCATACACTCATTCATTCATTCATTCATTCAATAAATTTGGAAAGGGGAGAACATCTACTATGTCAGGTACTGTGCTAGCTGTTAGAGATACAGCGGGAAGCAAAACAGACACATTCCGTGACCTGCAGGGTACCAGCTGCAGGATCCAGATTCAAAAAGAGAACCTCCTTCTCCAGCCTCTGTGAAGATCAATGAAAACAGGGAAAGGCTGTGAATTTGAAGAAACTGTGAGAGTGAATACATTATTACAGTGTAGACTGTAACATTGCAATGAATATATAGCACATGTTTTGGTCAGAACAGGATACAACATTTAATTTTATGTTGATCCACAAAGGCATTGACCTAAGGTTCCATAAATTCTCTTCAACTGGTAACGGTTATAGTCTCAGAATGGTGATTAAGACACTCTTTTAAGCAACAATACCGTTTTTTTGAAATGTGTATTCTCTATTATGTTTATGCTGCAGTATTTAAGACAAGACTGAATGGGAGATGGTACCTGTGGTCCATTTTATTTTCTACCCTTTGCACACCATCTTTAATGATCCTATCACAAAAAGAAGTAATTTGGTAGGACTGAGGACATAGAGAGATGACGAACAAGAACCAGATCAGCAATTCGAGATATCTAGCCCAATGACAGCCCATGTAATTAAAATTGAACCGTCTATTACTTAGTCCCTCCATAAATGAACTTGGTGGCAGCAGGGTTGCTGTAGAAGACTCACTTTGCAGACTTCTTATTTGCAACCATATGTACCTTACTCCAAAATTTCCCTACCCTCTTTGATCTCCTTTCCCTATACAGCATACATTTAGGTGATTCTAAGTGTTAGCTTTGCAAATCACGCTTATTGATTACATTTTGATCTCCTATCACTTCCTTTTCTTCCAGGTTTTGCAAATCTTATTAACTATTTCTTTTGTCAGACACATCAAGAATAGAATATATTCAGGAGTGTGATCTTTGGATTTTAATTTGCCCAGAAGAAACCAGCTAATTCTCAAAATAATCACATCATGTTCTTTTACTCCACGCCCCGCACCCACCAAAACAGTTTTGAATTATATTAGTTAAGTTTAGGACTTATTCAAGTCATTGGTTATATGTAACATAGAATTATTGAATATTATAATAAATCACTCTGTGAAATTATTAATTTTGTTTTTCAAAATATCAAATTCTGCAGTTCAGAACTTTACCTTGAGTTTTCTGAATTCAGAGGATATCATCATATATACTGAATTCAAAATGTGATGAAGTATCACCATATTTCAAGTTTCTTTTGTAGAAAAAAATACTTACATCACATTCAGAAAACATTAAGTAAGCAATTATGACATGCACCTTACATTTCCAAATTTTAACAAAACAACACTGATCTGTGGGAGATTTAAAAGAAAGATTGAAAACCATGACACTGACCTCTGTACTGAATTAATCATTTATTTCTGTCTTCTGTTCAATGCTTCAAAGTGGATAATAAACTTAAAATTTTACAGACTTGGGTGTATGTCAATAGCAGTAATAAAATATTAAAATCACACTGAATTTTGAACTGTAATAAAAATGTCTTAAATGATCACTGAATCCCCATACCCAACTTGCTCCTCATTTTCTCTCTTTTTTTAAATTTTGTTCAGTGCATGCATACACAATTCTCTGAAGGATAGAAAAATAACCTACCTGTTCTATTTTCCTAAAAATGATTTTGTGAGAACAGAAAAAAAAAAATCCTTTGACAAATAAGAAGTGCTATGTAGGGGCGCCTGGGTGGCTCAGTGAGTTAAGCCACTGCCTTCGGCTCAGGTCATGATCTCAGGGTCCTGGGATCGAGTCCCGCGTCGGGCTCTCTGCTCAGCAGGGAGCCTGCTTCCCTCTCTCTCTCTCTCTGCCTGCCTCTCCGTCTACTTGTGATCTCTCTCTGTCAAATAAATAAATAAAATCTTAAAAAAAAAAAGTGTTATGTAAATGTGAGGCAATCATATCATTGTTTCTTATAGCAAAAAGACTGCCTTGACCTTGACGAAGAAAGGATAAATTAACCGAAGATCTGCATTGCTCTCACTCCTATAGAAGGCTCACTGTAATTTGCTAATTCAATCATATGTCTTTCATCCATCTGTTCAGTACACTGCAGATTTCAGAGACCTATGAACTTTTTAAAAGTCAGTGCAAGACAAAATAGAATAACCATTTTCTCTAAAGCATCCTGTAAACACACATGCCTTCATTTCTTTAAGAAAGATTATTTGGGGCATTTTTTACACTTTATTATTTTTTTAATTTTTTAATTTTTTTCATTTTAATTCCGGTAAATTAACATACTAATATATAACTAATGTATTAGTTTCAGGTATATAATACAGTGATTCAACACTCTGTACATTACTCAGTGCACGCCAGGATAAGTGTAGTCGCTATCTGTCACCGAGCCCTCTTTGCCGCTCCAGAGCCTCACTCAGCACTTGACTATGTAGGTGGCCACCAAATGCCAGTGAACATTAATAAGTCAGATTATTCAGTATGCTATCAGATAAAACTCAATTGCCCTCTTAGATTGTCTCACTCCTACTGTATTCAATGGTTTTGATTTCATTTGGCCATCATGAATATAATCTGTCCAAACTCGTCTGGTAAACAGTAGCTGCTAGTTCAATTAGTCACTGCCACCCACATCTCCTTTCGCCAGGAAATGAATACGAGATGTTGGCAGAGCAAAAACTTCTCTAAAAGGATTTCATTGAAACACATTTTTAATAGAATATTGCAACAGAAATACTGCCAGGCAACCCTAAGTGTTTGTTTAATGTTTGCAACATCTGTGTAATATTTTTATACATTTGTTTTCTTTTTCTGATCTTAGAGGAGTAATTCTTCAGTGTAAGAGTCCCTGGCAAAAGAAAAACACAAAAATCTAATCTTTCTCGGCCATGATATAAGGCTGAAAAAAATAAATAAAAATAAATTTTAAAAAACTATTTCACACCACCTGTTATTTATCATTGTTTAGCCTCTGTTAAATATTTATCCTCTGTATCCCTTTTTATTTTTGAAGTCATCCATTAGATGAAAGAGAATAATTCCAGGAAATCTATAAATGTTTACTGAATAATAATGGATTTTAGCCCTATACAAATGATAAAACCTGGGAGAGCAGAAGCTATTCCTTGACAAATTAAATTATAGAGATTAAGCATTTGCTTGTATTCAGAGTATTTGGAACAGTAAAAGGAAGTATTTCTGTACAAAAACTTTGTAATATGAAAACAAAGTTTATAACCATTTTTTAAAAATGGTCGTTACTCATTGCATTCAAGGACAGTAGATGTTCTTCTGCATTTCTGAAAAAATTTATGGAATGAAATATACAGAACTGCTGATTTCCTTAATTGATATTTTGATACAGTTCTTTAACAGTTGTAACAGTTCATTACAGTAATAAGTTATTTTGTATCAGGGAAAGAGTATGAGAGATACTAGATAGTAGCTTATATCTGTAATAATCTTACAGTATTTTAAGAAAATTCAAAATTTGTTTAATATGTGTATAAATAGCATTTAAATTATCCTATGTGGTGGAATTGGAAAGAAGATATTGCCTGAAAAATATTAGTCACTTTATGAGTAATTTTCTAAGGTCTAGATACAGAAAAATGCAGGCAAATCAGATTTTACAACTGCTATTCAAATGTAAGTTGTTTACTATTTATTCACTTATTTTATTTCACTCAGAAGATAATAGTAATTTTTTTTCATTTTGTAACATAATTGCTATAACTATTAAGATTCCAGAAAGTAGGAAGTATCAGAAATATTTAAACAACAAAATCAGATTTAACCACAAAATCAGCAGTTTTCATATTGTATTAAGTATACCACTATCTAGTTTTTCTAAATACTAGTAAATGAAAAATGTAGCATGACACGGACTGCATCTTCTGTATTAAAAAATGCAACATGTTTTAAAAGGGCTAGAATGATTCTGCAACAAAGTTTAGCAAACATTACCAACAACTTCAAAGTGAATTACAAACAAAACATTGAAAGCTTTGGGAAGGTTATTTTTAAGTCTGTATGATAAGGTTCTGATTTTTAGTGTTTATTTGTATGTTTATTGGTGTTTGGCTTTTCAGGTATAAAATTTTTCTTTTCAATCCAATCTCCTTGGAATACTATGAAATGCCTGAAACTGCATTTAATTAGTAATTCTTACTAAACACAAGAAACAGACAACACTGAATCCCATCATACCAATTTAGTATACATTTATATTATAAATTTACAGTATCATGTAGTCATCCATATTCATTAAAAATATTACCAGCATATTTTTTCCATCTTTCAGTTTTAGTCTATTTCAAAGGCAATTCTTTTTCTATAATATCTCTGATATTTCCTTCAATTTGCCATCAGAAAATTCAGGCTTTCAGAAACATTACTTATCTTTGTTTTGTCTAAATTAAATCCATGACCCCCAGTATCACAACCACTTCTGGGTGGTCTCTCCCTTTCTCCAGGTGGTTCCCCCCTTTCTCCAGGCCTCTACAGGGAGATTTGTGTGTTGTCCAAAGGATAAAAAAGAACATCCAGGTCTCATCAAGCTCTGTACTGCTACTAGCACTCCATAAACATTTAAGATGGGGATAGGCTAATGTTTACCCAATTCACTTGAGCTACCATCTTTCATATATATATGAAATATATGTATATTTTATTAACATATAATGTATTATTTGTTTCAGAGGTACAGGTCTGTGATTCATCAGTCTTACTCAATTCACAGAGCTCACCATAGCATATACCTTCCCCAGTGTCCATCACCGAGCCACCCCATCCCTCCCACCCCCTTCCACTCCAGCGACCCTCAGTTGGGTTCCTGAGATTAAGAGTCTCTTATAGTTTGTCTTCCTCTCTGGTTTCGTCCTGTTTCATTTTTTCCTCTCTTCCCCTATGATCCTCTGCCTTGTTTCTCAAATTCCACATATCAGCAAGATCATATGATAATTGTCTTCCTCTGACTGCATCATACCCTCTAGTTCCATCTGCATCCTTACAAATGACAAGATTTCACATTTTGATGGCTGAACAATATTCAATTGTATATATATGCCACATCTTCTTTATCCATTCATCTGCTGATGGACATCTAGGCTCTTTCCATAGTTTGGCTATTGCGGACATTGCTACTATAAACATTGGGGTAAATGTGCCCCTTCGGATCAGTACATTTTTATCTTTAGGGTAAATACCCAGTAGTGTGATTGCTGGGTCATAGGGTAGGTCTATTTTCAACTTTTTGAGGAATCTCCATACTGTTTTCCAGAGTGGCTGCACCAGCCTGCATTCCCACCAACAGTGTAGGAGTGCTCCCCTTTCTCTGCATCCTCACCAACACCTGTTTCCTGACTTGTTAATTTTAGCCATTCTGACTGGTGTGAGGTGGTATCTCATTGTGGTTTTGATTTGTATTTCCCTGATGCTGAGTGATGTGGAGCACTGTTTCAAGTGTCTGTTGAGCCACCCTCTTTTGCAACACTTGCAAGAATGTCTTGCATTATACTTTTATTTTATTTTTTTAAAGATTTTATTTATTTATTTGACAGAGAGAGATCACAGGAAGGCAGAGAGAGAGAGGAGGAAGCAGGCTCCCTGCAGAGCAGAGAGCCAGATGTGGGGCTCGATCCCAAGACCCTGGGATCATGACCTGAGCCGAAGACAGAGGCTTTAACCCACTGGGTCACCCAGGTGCCCCTGCATTATACTTTTAAATGTAAGGTTGTTTTACAGATATTGGTTCTTTTCCACTTGAGGTCTTAGTCTACATGTAGGCCAGCTTTGTGACCCAGCATCTCTATAATTTCACAAGCATACATCAAATAAATGGACTTATTTTAAAAATATAGGTGCCTCTTTCACTTGGGATCTCAGACTTAGAATAAAAGGCAATATTCTTTACTTATAAAGAACATTCTTCTGGAGACCCTCTGTGCAGAAAAGAGTTACCATAACAAGCCTGAGACCACCTGTCCTTAGAAAATCTCACTTGCAAGGTTACGCTTGGCTTGCACCTGGGGACTCGGCTGATAGAGTTTCCTACACCGATATAAAGCTTTCTTTAAATGATAAGAGTGGCTCATTGTTTGTGTAAATAATGTGGTTTATGCTGAACACCTGCTTTCCCTCTGGGATTCTAGAATTTAGATACATGTGAGGCAGAATGTGCCCGTGTGACCAGTCCCCAATTTAAACCTTGGATGCTGAGCATCTGATTAGCTTCCCTGGTAAAAGCAAAAAACAAAAAACAAAAACAAACAAACAAACAAACAAAAAAACACCTTCATATATGTTGTCACAATCCAATGCTGGAGAAACTATATGTGCCCTTTGTGACTCCTCAGGTAGGGGACTCCAGAAATCTGGTGCTTGGTTTCCTCCATACTTATGTCTCATGCCCCTTTTCCCTTTGATAATTTTGCTTTGTATCCTCTTCATGGTAACAAAGTGTCGCTGCGGGTATAATTACACTGAGTCCTGTGAGGCCATTTATTGAACCACTGAACCTAGATTGGTCTTGGTGAACCTCAACCGACTCCCTGAAAAAGAGAATTCTATTTTACCAAAGGGCTTGAGGCCAACTGAGAT